ACCTTTTCGTTTTGGATCGGAGACACGTGGTCATGTGTGCTAGGTTTTATATAATTGTAAGTTCATCAAATGATATCATGAAGTCGCGCCACTAGTCCATCGGTAGGATATTTGCCTTCCAAGCAAAAGAGCGGGGTTCGACTCCCCGGTGGCGCAATCTTATATTATTGAAGTAATTCAGTTCTTGACTGAATCGAAAGAAAAGAGGAAATATAAACAACGTTCTCATATAAGAGAGATGAGGTGCAGAATTGGGGTCAAGCTGTTGGATTAGATTTTGCAAGGTGAATGGTGAGGATGGGTGACTTGTCTCTACGAATGTCTAACGACTGAATGAGGATGGGTAGGAATGATAGAAATGACCCAATCCGCCTTCGGTCGTTGACGCATAGCCGCATAGCAGCACTTAATGACGTGCCACACCAGACCGCAGCCACCACACTTCTAAAACAACCCTGAGCCCAGGGCAGGGGGGGATTTCCATGACGGGGCCGGCAAAACGGAACGAGGCCCTAAATTCAGCCCCCCCCCCACACACCATACTGCGCTGCTGTCCCAAAGTTTGTGCTTTACCCGTATTCGACTTTGCCGGCCCTTTCCCCTCGTTCCTTTTCCCCTCGTTCGAAGCTCCTTCGTGCGGTCAAGGATCCGGAATCCTGGATCCTTCATGTGGATCAACTCCCGCCCCAAGACCGACCATATGGAAGCTCCCATCGCCACCAACGGACTGTTTTGAACGCGTTCGGCCGGCTGCGCCACCTTACCATCATGCACCGGGGAGGGAGGCATGAAATGCTCCAGCGGTTCCCCGACGCTTGGCAACGGCACCAGCGACGGCGCGGGCTGGCTGTCCTCGGAGACGGACGGCCGCGGCCCTGCCTGATACCGCTGCTGCTGCTCCGCCTCTTCCTACGTTGGAATTACACGTTGGCATCACTGGCTGGAAAGACCCAAGATGGGAAGGAGAACTCTGTACCAACAGCCGCTGTCACTCACGTCACCGACAGCTCCAAACAATGCTATCACATTACGAGTAGCGCAAGAGGGGAGCAGAAGACAGAGGGCACGTGGGTCACGGAGCAAGCCGCTGGCAATGTTGTACGGGGAGCTGCGTCGTTGGACGAGCTCGCAATCCCGGGCGGCCGGCGCGGACGCGTGTAACTCCCGGGACACCCACCTGGCAGGTGGTAATAACAATAACTTAAGACATAAGACCCACTTAGCATCCGATCAAATCAGGCTACCTGCGTGAAGTCATTCAGCATGAGGAGGTCGGTCGGCAAGTCCGTAGCGAAGTGAAGCTGGCTGTCATCCAGCTCCGGCATCTCGCTGAGGGGGTCTAGAGCGGCCGCCGCGGCGGTGTCGCCAGCAGCGTACGCCGTGGCGGCGGCGCCGTCGTCAGTAATGTCGCGAGTACGGTTGGAGGTAGCGGCGGCGGCGGCCGTATCCTTGCTCACGCCAGCGCGGCCGCGGTCATATCCGCCGCCGCCCCCACCACCTCCCGCGGCCGCCAAAGCCTCCACAGCAGCCCCTGGCACGGTACCGCCGGCACGCAGGCTACCTGCAGGTACATGACGAAGTACGGCATTGTACGTAACAGTCCATGCCGCACTACGTGTCAAGACAGGGTGAGGCCGGCGCAAGAACGAGGTCCGGAGACGCGGTCTAACATAGGGTTATTTAGTTAGTAGCTGGCATGGTTTCGAAGCCGGGTCGTGCTTAGATCGCTTAAGTGGCTTGTGCGTGCCATGGACAGCACGGTCTCCCGTGGCCGCCGCCGTACATCAACAGCCATTATGCAGTGAGAGTCCTACACTCTCCTCCGCAATAAAAGAATGGCTCCGTTTCAGTGGACCCAGCAACTGCAAATGCAAATGCAACTGCAAATGCAACTGTAAATGCAACTGCAAATGCAACTGCAAACCGCATTGACCCAGCCTGACGCTGTTGCGGGCCTTACCAAGCGCCAGGAGGAAAGCGCCCCCATCGTCCTCATCCAGGAGTTGCAAATCGGGGGCCTCGAATACCTCATCGTCGTGGCTGATCTCGGACAGGGGAAGGGCGGAACAGGTAGGGTCAATGGACAGACGCAGGCAGGCAGGCAGGCAGGTTACGGGTGTGTGTGGGCGGGGTGTGGGTTGGGGTGGGGACCAGGGGGCAGGTGGGGGGAGGAGGCAGGTGGGGCGGCAGTAAGAGTACGTGGGCAGGCTGGCAAGCAAGCAAGCAACACGTCACGTGGAAGCAGGACGCGGAAAGGCCGCTGCCGCCGGCGACTTTTCCAGCGCCGTGTGTGTGTTGAAGTTGAAGGCGCAAACAAATTGCCAACAAACGACGGATGGAAATCCATGCGCCGTCGAAAGGACGGCACCAGACATGCGCATCAGACATGCGCAAGCAAGCCTCTGCACTTGAGCACCACGAGAAATAACACGAGGGGACAATTCCCCCTTCAGGGGAGGTCAACCAGCCTTTAACAGACCCACAGATGGAAGGGAGCTTGGTTTGAAGGTCCAGCTGCGCCGCTGCCACGACCGCTGCCACCGCTTGCCCCCTTGTGCGCGCCTGCGGAGAGGGAGGTGACGTCCTGGCTTGCTCTCCCTCTAATAAAGCCAAAGAGATGGATTCAGGCAGGTCAATGCTTACGTCTGCATGTGCGGCAGGCAGTACTTGCGCCTCCTGTCATGCGCGCCATGCACGGGCGGGCGGGCGGTTGTGGGGGATACGACGAACCACGGGCGGTTGTGGTGGCCGTCTTCACATCCCAATATAACTGACCCGAATCATCCCTGCTTATAATTCCCAGGTTACCCAAGCAAAACCCAGATACCGAAATTCAGCCCCAATCGCTTTTGTTTGATTCAGGTCACTCGTGCGAGGCCCAGGTCACGTATGACCCAAATCGCCTACATGTAACCCAGATCGTCGGATCAACACGACGACAACCACGTGGATCACCGCCATGATTGCACTGGGGGGCAGTCGCCCTCAACAACACACACACATACATGCACATGCACATGCACATGCACATGCACATGCACATGCACATGCACATGCACATGCACATGCACATGCACATGCACATGCACATGCACATGCACATGCACATGCACATGCACATGCACATGCACATGCACATGCACATGCACATGCACATGCACATGCACATGCACATGCACATGCACATGCACATGCACATGCACATGCACATGCACATGCACATGCACATGCACATGCACATGCACATGCACATGCACATGCACATGCACATGCACATGCACATGCACACACACCTGCGCTGCCGCTGTCTTTGCCACTGGGCGGCGCAAGCGACGGCGCCACGAACAAGTCCTCCCCAAGAAGCCCGTTGGCGGCGCCGCGGCGCCGGCCTGCCGCCGCGCCATGGCCGCTGCGATCATGGCCTTTCCCACCGCCGTCATCATCATCATCATCATCATCATCATTGTCATCATCGTCATCACCGAGATCACGTGCTCCGTCTGGGTCGGCTGCGGGCCCTCCCTGGCGCCCGAACTGTTCCAAGAGCTCCAGATCGTCCAAATCTGTAAACTGGCCCAGCAATGCATCTGACGGCAGCACCATCATGTCCGGAGCCGCATCCGCCAAAGTGATCGCTTCCGCCCTGTAAGAATAAGAAACACACACAGGGGGGTGGAAGCAGGGGGGAATACTCACATCTTTGCTTGCTGTGTTGAAACACGCGTACTTGTAGTGTGTACAGTGTGCATCAGTTCTTTGGCATCTTAGCTTTGCGGAGCTTAGCTTTGTAGAGTATACGCACAAATGATGATGTTGTGAATATGTGATCTGTTACGTTTCCTTTTTGCCACCTTTTATTGCGGAGCTTGCCAGTTAGCATGTCTTATTAGGGTTCTTCAATGAGTATTATTTAGACCTTGCATGGCCTGCTGCGTTGTGCTTCCTTCGCTTTCCCCCCCACACCAGACGTTCAGTCGTGTTATCACATCCACAGTAACAACCACCACCATCATCGCACACAGCCGCGCATGCCGTTCCCTTTATTATCTCTTAACAGAGAGCCGGCCGGCACGCACCTGGCCTTGTCTCGACCCCGCTGCAGCACCGTCTTCACGACCGCTGCCGCCGACTGCTCGGGCGCCTTGGCGGCGGTCACCCTCCGGAGCATCTCCTGGATGTCCTCTGCAACGCAGCAGGGCATTCAGGCAGCGCAGCGCAACGTGGCCAAAGAGACCGGCGGGGTTAGTAATGGGGTGTGAGATGCAGGGTGGGTGTGGGTTGTGTTGTTCAGGGGTCGAATAGCAAAGGTTCTTGTGGGGCCGGGCCGCTGGTGGGTAGGAGGGAGCACGATCGAGCCCGGACAAAGCTTCCGGACCCGGGCGCTTCATCGGGGTCAGAGCCTTGGGTTCTGAAAGCACGCAATGACCACTACCGCCAGCTGGACCGGACCCATGGTGACCGGGTGACATGAAAACATATTGGGACGACCCAAATGTGAACAAGGCTGTACGATATGAGGCGTACATGGTGAGCGCCTGGAGACGGACGGACAGACAGACAGACAGACAGATCAGAGGGGAAGCGGTGCAATAAAAATCAACTGATGACGTCAACAGAAATGGAATGGGTGTACGGACATGGCCGCAGACATGCGATGGAAACGTCTGTAGGCAATTCCGTGAAGCACTGCAAGTGCAGGATTGGGCAGACATAATTTGTCAGACATGATTTGTCAGACATAATTTGTCAGACATAATTTGTCAGACATAATTTGTCAGACATAATTTGTCAGACATGATTTGTCAGACATAATTTGTCAGACATGATTTGTCAGACATGATTTGTCAGACATGATTTGTCAGACATAAGCGCCCAGCAAGGACAACCCCAATCCTTGGGTTGAGCACACTGCCTTCCCGGTAGCATTGAGCGAGGGGGGTTGCACACAACCCAGATCACGCATGTGACTTTTCAGTTGGACTCAAGACACCCACACCCACCCAGCAGGTACAGCTGCTGTCGATTGAAGACGATGACCACGCCACCTGCATTCGGGGGAAGGAGGGTAATGGATTAAGGCTAGGAGTACACGGAGTCAGGACGGGGTGTCAAGAGGGGGGGAGGCATGGCGCCAGGGGGGACGGCGATAACTACCGGTGCCGGTGCGTGTGTCCGCGTCTGTGTACCTATCCTGCGCATTCGGGCAACGTCGCGACACCTGGCGTCCTGCAGCTATCCCCGCCCCATGCACCGCACCTTCCAACAATCGCTCTGCTTCGCTTACTGCCCGGCTTACCGATAAGAATTCCTTGCAATCGCAGCGAGTGGGGCACATCTGGCTGCATGATGTGTTTGCTGCGCGCGCGGAAGTCAAGGCACAGAAAAAGGTTAGGCAAGCACATCAGGACACTATAGTCCCATTCCTGTCAAGAGGAGGACTCCACCCGTGTTGGAGTCGGGTGGGCCTCCTTGTAAGTCGGAAACGAGACGCCAGTGTGGCGAATCTCTGTAGGATCTCTTGACCCACATGGATAGACCCATGGGTCAGTCATAATGTTTTTTGCTCCCCTATAGCTAACGACATTTCGTGGCGTTCACGGTTTGCAAATTTGAGACAATAAGCAAAGTGCGCTGCATGAATATAGTTCAGCGCATCGTGCAAGTCATGGCGCAAGCGAAAAAGTCGAAGCCGTTGCCATGCGCGAACAAGCCGACGCCTGAAGCAAGAACGCGCGAATCGTTTCGACGTACCAGACATCCGTTACATTTATTCCAAGAATCTTTATTTTGCTCAATTTCTTGCCATGCGCCATCGTCCTGCGTGTGGCCGCGCAGTCAAGCAAAAGACATTTATGAGCTTGTAAGGTATACCATCACACAGCGGATTCAAAAAGTGTAACTCCGTAATCCGCCCTTGGAGCAGCAGCATTTTAGTCGACCTCGTAGGCGTAGGCGACGTTGCTTGCCGTGCGATGCACGTTGCCTTTCCCACACGCAAACATCTATGAACGGAACGAGCTTACCAGATAGCGCCCAGAGGAGACTTCCGGCCCAGGAGGTCGTGCGAATAGAACATGGCTGCCGATCTATGATATCCCTGTCACTCTGCAAGTAGGCTGCTTCCAGGAGCTATTCCACCAACACGGGAAGCTTTCCCCGCGCAGTAAGTTAGCTCACAAAGAGGTATTTTTTAAATCCTGATGTGTAGTACCACTGGGTTATGCTGTGTATATCCTTCCGAAGGGCAGCTGCCGAGGACGTGCCAAAAAGCAGCGCGAGCAGAACCGTGCGGAGCTGGTAGGCTCCCTTTTTACATAGATATTTGAAATGGATCACCACGCGCTCCGGAAGTTTGTCTTACAATCAAAAAATCATTTCAACGATGCAGTGCCCATGCGGCATTAAAGGTTGTCCGGCGCCAAGACTTGTACGGCATTTCGACACGGAACGGATCAGCACTTGCCGCCGATTGAGGTCCCTCATGGGGGTGATACTCCCGGACTTCTGTGTAAATTCCGTATCGGAATTTTGTGCCTCTCATCCGATTTTGGACTCACAGCCATTACGCCCTTACGTCTTTCGACTTACAGCCATTCCACCCACGTCTCGTGCACGCAACAAGCAAGTTTTCGCTTTGCCGTGTTATTCGGAGATGCCAAGTCATTGTTTAATCGAATGAAATTTACTTAGAAATTTCAACGATTGCAATTTCGCAATAGTTATTTCGACTGGCTGTCTGGTCTACGCTTGTATATAAGCGATGGAGCAGCTATTCGCAAAGAGAACGAAACCATCTCGACGCCAACGTGAACTAAGCTTCTAGCTCGTTCGAAACAATTGGCGGAAATGGGGGGCCCGTGCTGGTCTTCGCAGCCTTCGCCAGCAAGAATCCCGAGTTACGCCTTCACTATTTGGCTTAATAGTGGCTTAATACTTCATCCACCCTAATAGCCGCAGCCGCCATCGATGCACTGTTGCTCAGCTTGGCGAAGGCGCAGTTGCCAACGGGCTCGTCGCCGGGGTGCGTCACCCTAACGCCACTGGCGGCAGAAACGCCAGGGCTGCGCCCACGGCTCCGGCCCCCCAACGCCGCCCGCAGCCAACGGGACCGTATTCGTCGCCTCGAGCTGGACGATGGCAAGTGGCAAGAGTTCGTGGCCTCGGGGGATGAGACCGCCACGACGCCTTTGTGGGATACCTGCTGCTGGCTGCTGGACTTTCAACGGCTCTCCAAGTTTTACCTGTGAAGCCCAGCGACCTCCTGCCGCGGACATGGGCCGACAACGGTGTCGGCAGCAGTAGCAGGGACAGAGTGCACCGGACTCACACCCAGCCGACCCGCTGCTGGTGCAGCGCGCCTGCCGGGCGGGCAGCGCTGGGCTTCGTCGCTGCCTGCGTACGGGGAGATGGTCGACGGCAGACCGGTGATGGATGGATTGCTAACCGGCAGACGAGCCGAAAGTCCTGGCTAGATGCAGCGCACAGCTGTCTTGGACTGGCGGCTGTCGGTAGGTCACCATCGACTTCCTGACGCTCGTGGTGCGGCGCAGCATTGTGTGCGCTGGCCCTGGGGCAGGCCATACTTTGGAGCCCGCCAAGCTAGCAGTCTTCCTTGGATGTCATGTCCTTGTCATGGCCTATCTGCCGCATGTTGCCGCGCGGGATGTTGTGCAGCCCTGGCTGGCCTGCCGGGGCGCCTACTGGTTTGATAACGGCGCGTCGTGTTCTGGAGCAACAGGCACCACCACTGCTGCACGGCGCATTGGCTGTGCTGCGGGAGAGCCTGGGCGGCGTTCAGTCGTTCCTGAAGCGGTTGTGTGAGCTGTGTGCACAGGGCTTAGACGCAGGCTCTCTGTTGCCAGGGCGCTAAGCTGTGAGCAATCCCGCTGCCTTTGACAGGACATCCCCAACCTACCGACTTCGACTCGGTTTCGTCCAAAGAATCAAGTTCTGCAATTGTGTACATGTAGCTTTCGGCTACAAACGCCTCTTTGCTTGCAATGTAATGGCTGTGAGTGCAAAGTTGGCAAAGAGGCACGGAGTTCTGATACGGATTTTGTACTTAAAGTCCACTTTTCTGGCACCCGTTGGGCCTGTGGCCGATTACCGTGGCGCACATGGCCAATCCGTTCGTAATCCGCTCGTAATCCATGACGCGCCATAATACAAAAAATATATAACCTAAGATATGCAGCACCATAGCCTGCCGAAGCGCTGCGCCATCACTAACCATTACGCCGACGCCGAAGGCCGTTAGGCATGCTTCACCTCAGTAGCCAACACCACCTCTTCAAGGAGTCCATCCGCGTACCTGCAGACCGCAACATCACGCTCCAATTCCCCTCGCAGCGCACCTACGACTAGCCTCATGTCAGACTTCGCCGCAGAGCAACTGACCCAGACGCCCAAAGGCAGTAGTATGGCAGTAGAGCTTGTGACACTGCAGTCGTCGACGCTTGTGAAACTGCAGTCATCCAAAACGAAATGTTTATGTCAGGATCTGTAAGGTTTAAGGTGCAACATAACTTAGCTTGTCAAAAATTCCGGCCTTCAGAGGAGTCAAAAAAATCATTTTTTCATTTCAGGCACCCAATCGCTACAGGTTGACCCACCTTGTGGCGGAGCCCTGCTCGGTCCCGCGCTGGAACGTAAGTCCGCCTGCTTCCGTCGCATCGCTGCTTCGCGAGTACCTGAACACCGCCGCGCCTGACCAGCTCCCATTCAGCCGCTGCGGTGAAGTGACAGGGTCTTTCGCAAACGGCTTGCCTCCACCGGCGCACCCGGATAACTCCACGCCACCATTGAACGGCCCATCATAACTGCACCCGGTGTGTAACAGCATCCAAGTCAAGGGGCACCCTCGATGAGTCAAAAGAGGGCTTTAGGCTGGAATAGCCCAAGAGGGCTTTAGGGTTCTCACGCATACGCATCATCACGAATGCGCACCGAGATACTGAGATATAATACATTGCTCTCTGCCAATAAAAGAACACACGGCGTGATGGCCACATCGCAGACACCTGCCATAGGTGGAGCGGGTGCGTGGGTTTGCCCTTCTCCCTCGGTCGTTATCTGCCACTTTCTGTCCTTACGGACGGTGAGAAACACATGTCCCGTGCCACAGCAGTGCCTTAAAAGTCGCTGCTGACGGCCCACCGCAGCGACACGAGGCTTACATTAACCTAACAGGCCGAACAACAACCTGCACATCTGAAGAGCTAATTTGCCAACAGACCCCTTTTTAGGCTTCCCGCTTTCATTACCGGGCACTTACGCCTCGCGACTGAGGTCCACAAAAGCCACCTGCCACTGCTTGCTTTCCCAGTGCTGCATCAGCGTTACCGTAACTCGCAATCGCGACTGGCCGCCAGGCGCCGCCAGGCACGCCTCCACCTTCACCTTGCCACCTAGCTGAGCGGGGGCTGCGACGTACCCACCGTCAGGGGTCACAGGTTTGACGAGGCTCCTGGCAAGAGAGGACAGGAAAGGCAAACCAGCCAGCTCAGTATCTGCGTGTGGGTCGCAGTATGACTGGAGATCCGTCGTCCGTTTGGTCCGGGTGGACTCGGGGCACGTGCTTGTGCGCCCTGGGCGAGATAGCTGATGATGATCGCAGCAGCTGCTGCTGCAGCTGCCAAGCGGTATAGTGTCAGGCGGGGCAGTGTCCGCCTTGATTCACATAAACAGCGAAAGGGAATCAGGTTTGTGCCAAGGATTATGCCAAAAAGACGCCGTGACTGTGCTCAAGTCATTAAAACTTTTTAAAATATGTCGTTAAACGGTTCCGAAAACGGCCGCCGTGTCATGAGGAATTCGCCAAGACAGACGCAAAAGATGTAACTCCCAGTGAGAGGGTACTTGTTGGCCAAATGCACCTTGTGCGCCTTGCCAACCCGCGCCCTCACGCACCAGCCGTGACCCAGATTTCCTACCCGCCGTCCGCCCTCCAGACGTCCTCAGCTTCCTCCACATAGGCGATTGCATCGGCCTCGCCTGAAACGTGCGAGCACCAGACATGGTTTTTTTTATTTTAACAGGCATGTGGACATATCCGCAACGTGTCGGTCGAGGAGCACCGGGGGACACTGGAGACTTCCCGTTGCCCTGCTCTTGCCCATGGGCATCTTGCTATGGAGGGAGGGAGGCGGCGTTGTGACCCTCCTAGAGCAGCACCCAGCAATGACCATGAGGAGAGCGTGCCCCCATCAGCGCCGTCAGTGATCAGGTCGTTTGCTGCTCATTGCCCAGGACATCCTTATATATACGGCCGGTAAAGAGGTGAGGATGGCGTACCAGCGTGGCCGATGGTGCGTCGCCCTCAATAACGCGATAATCCTTTTCCTAAAAGAAAACACACATGGGTCTGTCAGCCCCCGAGCGAGTGCAAAGTGGCCGTAGCCTCAGTCTTCGTGAGGCGTCATACGAGCCGTCTTCCCACCGACTTCCCACGATTGCATTCTAGGAACGAAACGAAAATCCGATGGTTGTTGTTCACTACCACGGCTGTGTGAAAGGGTCTTCATACAATTCTACTATCCTTTGCGCACTTACACCCAACCGTAGGCATCAGGCGCTTGAAAATGTTGCGCAGGCTGCCCGGCTGCCCCGGGGCAGGGGCCTGCGTCACCAGGCAGCTGCTCTGGCTCTGCCAGTCGTACAGCTCAACGCCCCTGCGCGGTAACAACCCCGGAGCAGCTCTTTATCAACACAGCCTGTGCGCCAGGAGGAGGTCCTTTCCTTGATGCTTTCTGTAGGCAGCGAACCAAACTACCCGTCTAAGCCTCCCTGCTAAGCTCTATGGGCTCTAGTCGAGAATGCAGCTTGAGCGTCAGCAAAGCTCAGCAAGGAATTGGGTTGGAGGAGCGAGGGCGGAGGGGTCCGTAGGAGCCCTGCTTGCATAAGGCATGGCAGTTTTGACGATCTGCGAGGAGACGTTTTTGTGGACCTGTGTAATTACACAGACAGACAGACAGACACACATGTGGTGAGAGAAGGAAGCAAGGATCAGCTGATGAGACGCACCATTCTCTGTATGCGCCAGGCACGTAGCGCTCTGGAAGGGGTTGCGCGGCGCCTTCCGCGTTGAAGGTGACGGTGACTCCCTCCCACTCGCCTTCGGGTGGTGAGGCGCAGGCGGTGGCAAACGTGTTTACTAGATGTAAAGCAAATACAGCCCCTCCAGCTGCCCTTTGAGAATATCCTTTGGCTACCTGCTAGCTATCCGGCCGGTGGCCCTTGGTTCTGAACAGAAGCCGTGACGAAGGCTTTCCTGAGCTCAAGCCCGAACGGACAGCCTGGATGCTGCCATATTACCTTGCACTCTGCTTGCGAAAGCGTCCCACAGAGCGTCATACGATGGGCCCTCTCGTTCTGCAGTAGCCAGGGCTTTCTCGGTTGCCACATGAGCGATTAGGTGGGATCCAGGACGGTTTGGCATAATCGTTTTTACTCCATGATGCCTTGAGATGAAAGCGCTCGCTGGGCGCTGCGGTCTGAGTCGCAAGGACCACATCCCCAACTAACTGAGTATGCCCAGGCGCTTTAAGTTATGTGGTACAAGGAAAATGTATTGAATATGAATATCTTTAGGATCTTGACACGCCCACTGGCAATTACAAACAAATAATGAAATGACCTGGATCCTAAAGGTTGCACAGATGGGTTCTGTGACGCCGTTATCTACATTCGCAAACCACTGAACTGTGAACAGTACATACAGTAAACTCTACTCTTTATACTCTGCGTGTGCATTGGGACTTCGCTAACTCTGCCCGGTCATTGGCACCAAACTGTCTGTGAGGACGACTCGTCCAAATCCATGCCCCGTCCTTGATTGGCGCAGGTCACTTAGGATGGGACCAGAATTACTGTTACCACACAAATGCTGGTTAGGCTTTGCCTTAGATACATCGGAGCAGCAGGTATTTGGCGTTGGGCCCCAGCACGGCCACGGCCGAGCGCTCATGGCACAGAGGGTAGCTGGCGTGGGAGTCGGAGTATTCCTTCTCTTCTTCTTTCTGTGAGTTGGCTGGGATCCGTGGCTCGCACGGATTCCGGACGTTGCGACAGCCCCACGCTCCTTGCCCTCCTGCTAGGGCCCTCTCCGTGCTCATCTGCCTGCTAGGCTCACGGTCCAAGCTTCGATGGTGAGAAAAGCAGGGGGAGTTTATGGCAACTGCTGAACAGTTGATTGCACAAAATCAAGCTTGTTGGGCAGCGGTGTAGGTGATCCATTGCGCAGGTTTTGCCAAGCTGCCGCCTCCCGCATAACCCTTTTTGCTCTTGCTCAAAATCCCGTCAGCAACCATCCGATAGCGCAACCTAAATTACGTCGTATCATTAAAAACGTGAATTTAAGCCAGGCGAAGTCAGGCGTCTGCAACCAATCCACAATCGCTTCCAGGCCGGGTGATCCACCTGAATGGTTCGAACGGTGTTTTTTCGCGCAGGATTGTGTTTACGGCATCCGCTGCCATGTTCGGCATTGTGGCGCTGGTGCTGCTGGCCTCGCCAAAGGGCCCGAAGCGAACAAAGCCCCCGGAGGTGGGTTGAAGCGCTGCCGGTGCCGTACACACGTGGCCATATATACGTGCTTCGCCACACCGCATCCTTGAAGTCCTTCCCGCTGACCGGGTTAAGCCCCTCACCGGTGTTGGATCGATCCGGATTTCGTGTGAGATCCGTTTAACAAACTGTTTAGACATGAATCGCATAAGACGTTTTTGTCAGAAGTTTGCCCACTACCCTGCGCAGTACTAAATTACACATCAGCGAAATAATGAGGAGCGAACCTTATTTGAAATGGGATGGCTCCGTTAGGAAGGAGGGAGAGGAAGCCCAACCCCGCGGAGGGAAAAGACGAATATCCTCCCTGCGCGCACGACATTACCCCCTAAGCCTCACACCACAACTCTCGCCACATGCAAGCGAGAAAGGGCCATATGCAATCCAGCCTCACAAAACCCCCCTTAGGCGTCATTGCCTCGGCGCCCTTGCCACTAGGCACTTCCATCATCTCACTGAGGTGTAGCACCTTCAACACCCTGAAAAAACAAATAAAAACGATATCAGAGCATTACGATTTGCATTAGAATCGTCCCAGCGACCAGGTACAACCAAATAACGAGGCCCTGATGGCGCACGTATCCCCGTTGTAATCCCTTAATTCTCTTAATGCACCTGCAGGGCTACGACCAGACCATTGTGCCCCTGGTAGTTGTTATGGTAATCCTGGCGATTGGCGTACTGATGAGCGCGGTGGGCATGCTCATCTTCGCACTGCTGCCGACGGTGTACGCTCGGCCCCTCAGTCACCATTTGGACGTCCTGAAACACAGGAGCTAGGGCCGGCGGGGTTGTGTTGATTTGGGACTACGTTTACTTCTGTTTGATTATCGTTGATCGGGATACCAAGTCGCAGCTCGCTAGGGCCTCTGAGCTGCGTTAGGTTAACCGCGTGTGGAGCTGATTGTTGTTAGGTTGTTTTATCGATAGATGAGCCGGCCGGGCAGCGCTGCATGGCATGAAAATGAACGCATGAGTGCGCCTAGCTTAGGTGGCTGGGCTGTTACACGTTGACGTCTGTGAAGCCTGAGAGAAAAAGTGTTCGAGATTTGGTTTGGAATGCATGTGATGCACTTCACGGGGGCGTCTTGCGGGCTAAGAATGTGTGTTGGATGCTGTGGTTGTGGTTGTCATGGACGCGCCCGTGGACTGGGGACGTGGTGGTGGTGAGCTAGGCGCGTTAACTGCCTGCTTAGGGTATGACCGTACAAACCTGGTTGGTTTCTTTACCATTTGCAAACCGTACGACCATGACGTGCGCGCGTTGGAGCTTACATAGTACATGACCTGCAGGTTGCATGACGACAACATGTCTGACGGTTGATTTCGGGAGCCGCGGATCCTAAAGAGGCTCAGGATGGCTGTTTGCCTGGACAGCTTGTACGGATGTGTGCATGTCGAGTGTCCAACAAGTGTTTGACGCACTGGGTTGGGTCTCCGGGTTTCACCTCCAGCTCTGAGGAGAAGGGGCGGGCCTGCGTATAGCCTTGAATATAATTGCATCTCATGGTTATGTAGAACTGAGCGGCATGTTTACATGTGTGTGTGTGTCGTCATTATGGTCTGGGTGTATATATACGTATGTGTGTGTGTGTTTTAAGATGTGTACGAATAACATGATCCAGAGGTCCAAGGGCCCATGCCGAGCTGACCTGCTCATGCGAGCGCGCAGGAGGGCTAGAGGGCTCTTCTACTCGAAAGCGAAAGCCTACCAAGAAACCAACCACAACGTGTACAGGAGCCTGTCGCGGCATTTTAGCGTCACGTGTGTGCGCGAAAGGGCACGGCACGTCAATAGTTTACGGCCCCCCGCCTTTCCTGCATTACATCCTGCTCGAGGGAGCCGTTTAGCATAGCTTGCTACGCCCGTGAAACAGGACAGTTACTAAAGAGGGATAGGCAACCCTAGAGGCGTGTGAGAGGGGAAATGTGGACCATGTATAGCCAAGCGGGACATCGTCGCCTCGACAAAGCCATATTATTGCCAGTCAACCACCCTTAGCATGCTTCATCGCAACACGTAGACGGCATGTGGGACTTTGGGGAAAAAGAAAAAATTCGTATACCCTTCGCAAACCCGCCTCCAGCCAGCCAGCTCAAATTACTGTACATCCTTAATTATACAATATCAACAACAAGCGAAGCACCTGAAAATCAGCTCCAGGTATACTTCAGCCCAGACACTATCAACAAGGACTGTGATTATATTACAGGCGGTGCACACTGCATACTACAGCAGATACATCGGCTGAGCGCTGCACATACACTTAATAGACCAGCTAGCAGCAGCAGCAGCACACATCGCCATCTCTCGCCTCAGCTCCTACTTGTACGGCCAAAGCTCCCCCACGTCGGCGGCATTCTTGCTGCCCCGGAAGCACCTGTGGCTTTCCCTGCGACCCCGTTCGTGGCACAACAGGGCCTTGCGCTCCTTACGCTCCAGCCGCTCTACTTGCTGCCGCAGCAGCTGGTAGGCCTCCGTGTGGCGGCCGGTCGACCGCAGCTCCCGCTTCAGACCCATGGGTCCGCCCTTTCGCAGATCCACCAGCGCAACGCTGCCGGCACAGCGGTTGCGACGGGAGCCGCGACCCACCCTCAGCTTGGCCTGCAGCGCATCGGGCGCACATACATACATAACTACACAACTGCATATACACACATACACTCGTGTGCCATTCTCGCCGGTTTCTGTCCGCAGCTCAAGTTCAAAGTTCAAGGATACATACATATGTACATACACGCAGATATATAGACACATACATACAAGCATATATGTCAACAATCCATAAAGTCGCAATGTTGTTGCACAGCGTTTTGAAATATGTGGTGGGGCAGTTTGCCTGTCTAACATCGCCCCGGTGCTCACGTAATCGTTGCCACCAACGAAAACAGTCATTAGTTGGGTTAGTTAGTTAGTTAGTTGGCAAACTAGGTAAGCAGGCATGTTGGCAGGAAGGGCTTCACCTGCTCCCCGTAACACCGTTAAGGCATTGCTAAACAAGCAAATCGGAAGCTGGGCAGGCAAGAAAGCAGACCAGAATGCGAGAGGGGGTGTAGCAGCTGACCGCTGAAAAGGTCTCTCGAGTTGCTGGCGGTCGCGCTCTGCGCGTATTTATAGCACCGTACTGTGTACCGGCTGCTACATTCCCCCCCCTTTGAAGGGAACCGTCCCGGGCCCTTAGAGCCTCGTATACCGCCAGCCTGTGCCTACCTTCACCTACCCTCGGGCAGTGGGTGGTCCAAGCCCACGTCACGTCATGTGCCGGCTCACATGCGCCTAGCCGTCTTCAGATTTTTCAGGCACAGAGACAGTCCAGTCGGTTCAGCTACTTTTTTTATAATTTGTGCGATATTCGCTCTCTGAGTCGCCACACCCGAATACCACTCGAACGTGATCGGTGGGGGTTGAACCGACGACTTCAGGATCGTGATTTTTCACGAGGTCTCGATACCAAATGTAGCAGCTGACCGCTGAAAAGGTCTCTCGAGTTGCTGGCGGTCGCGCTCTGCGCGTATTTATAGCACCGTACTGTGTACCGGCTGCTACAGGGGGCATCCTCTGACGGCACACCGCGCCTCGCCCTCATCCCCTCCTCCCACCCGTTCCTGCCACTCCTCGTCGATCACCTACGGCCACCCACCTCGAAGTGTTCCACCAAGTCCAGGAAGTCTTCCTCGGACGCCAGGTCCCTCCCGAGGCCAGACGCCTTCATCACTCTGGGGCCCTCAAGCTGCTCCCTCTGCTCGTCCCGCTGGCCCCGCTCGTGCTGCGGCTGCTGTGGTGGTGGTGGTGATGTTGGTGGTGTGGAAACGGCAGTCCGGTCACCTGCAGGTGCCCGTACAATCCGTACACGTCGCCACGCCCGTACACGCCAGAACCAGGATGCATATGCACCTTCCAAGGAACGCTACAATGCTTACAGACCTGTAACATAACTGACGTGCAAAACTGTATGCGAAGTGATTGTCTTCTTTCTCATCAAGAGCCTCATCAAGATCCTTTCTCCCCAATCTGTCGTCCGTCCCACCTGGCCTGTTCTAGCCTAGTCTGTCCAGTCTAACTAAGCGCTAAGCCGAACTCTGCATGTAGCCCTCTAAAAGCCCCCTACATTACCCGGCCCCATAAGTTACCAACCGGCATTAGTATGAGGACTCCAAACCAAGCGGTTTTACTGTCTTGAAAGGGACGCATGCATACTGCTGGACGCTTTATTTGGGGGACTTGGGGAAAACTATTCAACATCAACTGCTTATGTCGATGCGTTATGTGTGCTAATTTATGTCTGCGAAACAATGCATTCGTACCTTTTAGTAAGGCCATGGTGACCCCCACGGGCGGCCAGCGGAGCGATGCGTACGGCATTGACGGCTTCGGCGGCTGTGACGGTGTCGACAGGTACCCACGGCGGGCCCGGCAGCTAGGCTTCCGATTCTTTGCTGGAGTGTTATAAGGCCCCCGGCGCGGCCTCTTGGACGCTGTGCAGGACGCCTGAATGGGCGAGATGTGGGCGTAACGTGTAACAGGAAATAAGTGAATTCTACGAGTCCACGAGTCCTATTCAAGGTAATCGCGGTTCCGGTCAAGAGCAGCATGCAGCCTTTTAAGGCTCGGCGTCGTTGCAATTACCACGCCAGGAACGTAGCCGCAGCATTCCCACATGCAGCCGCGTCCTAACCTCAACATCCCAACCTCCAACCCAACTTATATTGGACCTGGAAAGCATGTGCCCCTGCAGACTGCATATGAGCTTGGTGGTGCACTGCATAGTGAGGAGCTGCGAATGTCTCCACAGCCGTACGCCAACAAATCTGCACCTTTTCTTTCTTTTGCGGCGGTGATGGCTCGGTGACGGCCAGGGCGCGGTCCAACAGTGTCGTCAGCAGCGAAGTGGTGGGGCTCAACTCGCCCAGCTGCCCACGTTTTTGCGCCAAGCGTTCCAGCTGGGCTTGGGCGCCGCGCACCACGGCTTGCAGCTCCGCTGCTGACTGGGATGAACCGGTTACCTTCGTACTCCGAGACGGGATGCTACAATAGGGCAACGAGGATAATGGCAGGGACGTCGACGCCTTCAGGGAGTTTGAGGGCGTAAAGGTGCCGTGACATTACATAGCAATATTTTTTCTTAGTCAATCAAAAAGAGACCGTATGGTAGGTACCGTGAAAGTCGGGGTTTAGGGGGAGGACCTTAACTTTCGACACAATCACGGTAAGATTTGGGAGGTCACGGGTCATGACGGCTTGCCTTGTAAATCCGTCGTCAGGAGACTCATTGTCTTTGCAGGTTGTGCACTCTCCTTGATCATGAATGGCCTTGTATTGCGCCGTTGGGAGAGGTACCGTAACTGGAGCGTCAGCCGCTGGGCATTTGGATTGTCTGCAAGTGCAGAGCTCGTCGGACTGCAAGCTCCGCAAGGCACCAATAATATGATGTTGAGTCCCAACAAGCGAAAGTGTATTGAGCATGCCTTCAAACACAGCTCGATACTGTCGCGTATGGAGAATGCATGGCTTCATTGTGTAACGTCTTCAGGTCAATTCAAGCTTCAACTATTTACCAACCTCTCGTAGGAAAAAGAAAGATCATCACCTTGTGTACTTATACTTCTTGGTTGCTTCCATGGCCTTTGGCCCTCGTGGACTTGAACGTCCCGGCAGGTGACGATGGTTTCGGGCCCAGTTTCCAATTGCACAGTCAGCAACTTTATAAGGCATAGAGCCACGATTTCAAGCCTCACGCAGCATATTATTATCTTTCAGCATATTAGCTTTTTAAACGTGGCATCCCTGTGTTGGCGCCTTCGAAGTTGCGGTTGTCCGTTAGCGCGCTTCCAGAGCTTGTAGTGACCAGGCATCGGCAAAACGAGTATTCATAGTTAGGGGAAGGGTCCACTTCTGTCATCGTTCACTGCCGGTTCTAGGGCGGCCCTTCGGGCCGTAGACGGTCCTACTTCTGCAAGCGGGTCAGCTCTGTTTCAGGGGTTTTGGTACGGCCCGAAGTGCCCGAAGCGTTTTCTGATGTCTAGCAGCGACATGTGTTTTGGACAACCCAAAATCCTTACGAGGAGGATCTTGCAGTGATCCCGGGTTTGTTTTGATAAAGCGTTCGCCCTAGGGACAGGCCTGGACGCACTCGCGCACGGATTTCACGTCGAAAGCATGCCGGAACCGCCTGCTTCTCACTTCTTACACCTCGTCCAGTTTCCATGCTCGCAAGCTTCACATGCAACAAAGCATCTTCTCGCACTACTCAATACCTAGCCCATAAATGCTTTAACTCTGCGATGTGGGTCGAGCCGCTGAGCACTTGGGAAAAGTCTGCCACCAGTTTTGGGTTGGAGCCTGGTTAATGTCTCTAGTGCAGTGCACGGCCAGCTGGCCAGCTGGCTCTACTCTTCGTGAGTCTGGAGAGGCCACTGTAACAACCACATACCCACCAGTTGTTGTAAGGGCGCTTTAGCATCAAGCTCCTATTGCCGATATGCACGAGGAGCAGAGTGAATGCCAGGTGAATACGACGGATAAGTTTCGTCTGTAAGCTCAGAGGACGGCGATGGAGAACTAGGCATGCTGGGCGCGTATGGCCCCGGCGAACTGCAGCAACCCATTGGTGCACTTCAAGGAGGCAATCGGCCAGGCCATAAAAAAGGAGCCCCATAGTACGGACGGGTAAGTAGGTGCAAGCACGAGAACACCAAGGGTGAAACAAACCTTGCCAGCTTGGCGGCATCTGGCGCGATTTTTTGTGTAAAAGAAATGCAACGGCATTATTCCTTTCTCCAGTGACATGTCGGCGTGTCCCTTGTCACAGGAAAACGTCCTCCAATGTTACCTGCTGAAGCCGTCCTCCTAGAGTTAACTCTAGTACTGTGCTAATATGTACAACAAACAATGCACAGCAGTGATGTGACAAATTTCCGTACCATTGCCCTTCGACACGAAAACCTCTTTCCGCACCCTATCCATGGGGAACGATAGCTGGGGGGGCCTTCTCTGCGCAGGTCCTCCAACCACCCATGCCAACCCCAACCTCATCGCTGACTCAGACACCATCACCACACTGTAACACTGTATTCCGTGGTCTAGTCATAACCTAGGATTTGTCTCCGCTGCACGGCATCTCTCCTCGGTAGCGCTGCAACCGCTTCATAAGCCCGCCTGCCTGACCCCGACACACACCACACACACACACACACACATACACACCTCCACACACACATACACGCACACACAACTCCCACCTCCCAACACACTCACCTTCCAGCACAGCCTGCCAACACACACACACACACCTCCCAACGCAAAATGCGCATTGGTGGCTGCTGCCTGCCTGCCGAACCTCCCACCACCTAAAATCCATCCCCTTCGTCCCTACTACGTTTTCTTTTTCCCCCCCAGGTCCTTCCCCCGATATCTAATCCTCTCCCAAAAACAGCTGATGTCTCTAAACGTTCTGTACGTGGATGTGTGTGTGGGGGGGGGGGCACGCCCAACCTGACCACCGGATAACCCGGAGGCCTGACATACAGACCCACACCTTCGACTTCTCGTCTCCCTCCTCCTCGTCGTATGTTCGGAGTCTTTTAGTCCACGGGGCCCTAAGGCGCTTCACCTTGTTGGCATAGCCCCTCAGGAGTAGTGCACTAAGTTACTTACACGCTCTCCTCGCGCTGCTGGGCGCACGTGTCTAATAACTCGACGGGGGTGTCAAGACACGGTCACACGCACATGAGAGCGCGCCCGCACTTCGAGGCACCCTGGACCTTGGCCCCACCGCCTTCCCGCCACACAGTAGAAAGAAGAGCAGCTTTGTTGAAGGTGAAGAGGAGGATGAAGAGCAGGATGAAGAAGTTGGGAGGATAAAAAAACATGAGGCCCGTGATTCCGATACGGCCCGAATTATCATCGTCTGGTGTGAATCATATCTCACATACCTCACTGTTAACAGCAACAAAGTCGGCCCTGCAGCAAAACATCATCCGGGGCCGGAGACTCTCTCCATCAGCCTAAAACGCCGTACGATTCGTCCACGCCGTACTGTCCGGCATAAATAACCCACCTTCGCCTTTCATGGCAACCTTAGGGTTTTTATATCCACTAGTGCAGAAGTGCATCCTTCGCTGCAACCAGAAGAATACAGCATGCCGGCCCTAAAACAGTTCACATTTCGCAACAGCGTTTTCCTCGCCATACTCCATACAAATGAATAAGCGTAAGGGGGCCCCTATGGCAGTTCTAACCATGTGTACCGCACAATTCCAAATCCTTGCAGCATGCCGTACCATCGCTGCACGGCCATATCTACAGAGGGACGTCCCGTTTGCGTGACCGCACGCATAGCGGCGCTGGATGCACGCACGCGCGCATTAAGGCTAACGGCACATGAGTAGGGAAACCTCCACGCACACACACACGCACGCATGACGCAACAAGACCTGACCACCTCGCACCCCACCACCTGACCACCAGCAGGTGCGTTGAGCCAGGTGGTCATCCAAGAGCCATTACAGACCAACAGCCAATAGATCACCTTTTTCTTCCTCCTCCTCCTCCTGCTGCTGCTGATGATGATGTGCTACCCGTGCTGAAAAAGAGAAAAATAAAAGAAGAGTCGGGTCGCGCTGATGGGCGAACCACCACCAACAACAACCAAGCATGTGAATCAGACGGCAGCGAAAAGCTCTCACGAACTCACCCAGGGCATTACCGAGGGTACCTCCGTCACGGGGTGCCACTCCGAGAAACCCGCCAACCCGTCGACACTCCACTCCAAAATCCGACGCAACTCTCTTTTCCATTTGCTACATCCGCCAACCCCTCAGCCCAACCATGGTTGAGCTGAGCTCCCTCACCGCTCATTCCAACACATATTCGCTCCCCCGCACACAGCACACGGCAAAAGCGCGACCGCATTGCCTCCCGGCCAGCTACAACCGAAAAAATGCGGTGCGCCGTGCGGGTTTCCCTGACGTGAGAGCAAAACCCAAGCCGGCGCAACCGCGGTTCCTGCCACCAATATCAACACCAATATCAACACCGATGCCGTGCAGCTCGACGACAAAGTGCTCCAGACACTCCGAGTGCCTGGGGGGTCGCGCGGGGTCGAGTGAGCTGACAGGAACCTGTGTGTTTCGCGGCCCTCGCCGCCATCCTTCAGCTCCCCCCCCTCCCGGGAGCAGCTCGTCAGCTCTGGGTCCTTGGACCCGGTTGTTTAGCCCATCTTGGCGGGCCTCGCAGCGAGCTGGGTGTTGTTGACTGTGAATGCGAACGACAGTACCGCGGAGGCCGTACCGCCCGGGTGCGGCTTGCCGTCGCTGAACCTGCGGTATGGAGGGGATGGGTTGTTGGGGAAGAAGGGGGAAGAAGGGGGGAAAGACGAACCACGAACGAGTGAAGCTGCTGCCGAGGAAGGGGGAAGGGGGAGGTGTAGCCGGGGGAATGTAAGTAGTGGTGATGGTGGTGGTGGTAGTGGTGATGGTGGTGGTGGTAGTAGTGGTGATGGTGGTGGTGGTGGTAGTGGTGATGGTGGTGGTGGTAGTGGTGATGGTGGTGGTGGTGATGGTGGTGGTGGTAGTAGTGGTGGTAGTAGTGGTGGTGGTGGTGGTGGTGGTGGTGGTGGTAGTGGTGATGGTGGTGGTGGTGGTGGTGGTAGTAGTGGTGGTAGTAGTGGTGATGGTGGTGGTGGTGGTGATGGTGGTGGTGGTGATGGTGGTGGTGGTGATGGTGGTGGTGGTGGTGGTGGTAGTGGTGATGGTGGTGGTGGTGGTGGTGGTGGTAGTAGTGGTGGTAGTAGTGGTGATGGTGGTGGTGGTGGTGATGGTGGTGGTGGTGATGGTGGTGGTGGTGGTGATGGTGGTGGTGGTGATGGTGGTGGTAGCGCTGATCCGGTACGTCGTGCAGCATTCACCGGGTATCGGAAGACGTTATGAGCGTACGTGTGTGTATGTGTGTGTATTTTCACGACGTACACACGCGTTCTTGTGATGTATCAAAGGCAATCGTGTCCGTGGGTCGTCTGCATGTGGAGCAGGTGCAGAGTTTTCGTACAGCCGTACATTACTCACGTGTGTCGTACTCCTGGCAGCCAGGGGATGATGTCAGGGAAGGTGGTACCCGGCTCAATGAACGAGTCGGTGCGGAAGAAGAAGACATGAACGCCATCTGTGAGCTTCGTGGTGTCGATCTACGGGTGGCAGTAGCAGTAGCAGTAGCAGTAAGGGGGGAGCTGCAGAGCCCCATACATACGAACAAAGATACAGACAGACAAGCAAGTAGACAGGCAAGGACGGAAAAGATGCTCAACTGCGCACAACCTAAGCGCTCATATACAATGACCTACACACCGTACACAAAAGTACAGCAGCAATGTACAATGTACGACACGAAGGACGTCCAATTTTTCGCCATCTAGAAGCAACTTACCACCAGGTTTTGGTATACCATGTCATTCACGTCCAGCTGGATGCTGCCTAGAGAAGGAATCCGCATGTTAGTGGCTGGATCCAGAATGTGGAACCTTGGATCCACAGTCACCTGTCCGGACGCGTCACAAGGCAGACCGGGTCGTACCATGCACCCACGCCGCAGCAGGTGATGCACCTGCGCGATCGCGGGCGACGACTAGGGACTAGGACAGGGGCCGAGGCCGGCCCCATGTCTAACGACTAGGGACTAGGACAGGGGCCGAGGCCGGCCCCATGTCTAACGACTAGGGACTAGGACAGGGGCCGAGGCCGGCCCCATGTCTAACGACTAGGGACTAGGACAGGGGCCGAGGCCGGCCCCATGTCTAACGACTAGGGACTAGGACAGGGGCCGAGGCCGGCCCATATGTCTAACGACTAGGGACTAGGACAGGGGCCGAGGCCGGCCCAATGTCTAACGACTAGGGACTAGGACAGGGCCCGAGGCCGGCCCAATGTCTAACGACTAGGGACTAGGACAGGGCCCGAGGCCGGCCCAATGTCTAACGACTAGGGACTAGGACAGGGCCCGAGGCCGCGAACATCACATATCACATATCGCATCACAATGCCATATGGCTAGGTACACATGTACATGTAGCGCATGTCGGACTTACAAAGGACCTGGTCACCGGTGCCACGACGGGACGGACTCGGTTGTAGATGCGTTGGTCGAAGGACATAAGCTGGCGGATGGTCCAGTTGCCAGAGAGGGGTCTGGGCGGGGTAGGGGGAGGGGGGAGGGGAGGAAGGGGGAGGGGGGGTGAAAGGGGGAAGGGGGGAGGAGGGGGGTGAAAGGGGGAGGGGGGGATGGATAGAAAGATGGCAACACGCGCTCGCTACGCAGTCGGTGGAGGAGGCACGATGCAAGTGAAGGAGAAGCGGGAATGCAGGGGGCCAAGGAAATGATGAAGAGAGTGAAAAGGGCGGGGGGAGAGAAAGGGGAGAATGGAAGAACCAGCACGACCATCACCATCACCATCACCCCGCGAGAACCGGAACCGCCACTACAGTGCATCATCACTACTCAACAACACGCCGGAATACCCCTTCTCTCCCCCCTTCCCCTTCTCTTCCCCTCCCCTCCTCTCCCCGCCCTTTTCTCTCCCCGGCCCCCGTCTGCTTACGAGGTGGGGAGGGCGTCCTTAAACACCGTCATGCGGCTGTAGCTCCAGGGGAAGTCGTTGAAGCCCGCACCTCTGAGGGCGGAGGGGAAACCCCCAGCGAAATGACAATGGGAGCCGGCGTAGGCGGGGGGGAGGGGGAGGGGGAGGGGGAGGGGGAAGGAAAGCCGGGCACCGCCGATTCAGGAAAGGCATGAGAGCGTTACTAGGGCATAGTGTGCGGCATTAAAAGGGGGCGCTGGAGAGGTGTTAGAAGAGAGCCAGGAGCCCTTAGGGCAGGAGGGAGGACCGGCTCGAGGCCCGGGGGCGATGTGTTGGCAGAGGAGAGGTGGTGGTAGAGTACGGGCGGACGGACTGCACATTGGACGCCGGGGTCAGGGGGACGAAAAACCCACATAAAAGGATTGAACGGCAGGAAAGAGGACAGACGTACTGCCGCAACTGCCGGGGCGGTGACCCTTCAAGTCACACCCCCACTCCCTTCTGCCACCGACGTCCACCTCCCCGCGTGCACCCACCCACCTACCCGCACTCCCAACTCACCCCCCAACCCCTCCCAACCCCTCTCCTGCCACCCCATAGCCACCAGCCGCCCTCCCCCCTCCCCCCTCCCCGCATATACCCCTACATGGTGGGGATCTCGGGGAGGAAGTCGGGGGCGACGCGGGTGGGGCAGGCGGGCTTGCCGTTGCTGTAACGAACCTGCGCCTCGGAACGAAGGAGGCCAACAAACGGGGTGGGCGGAGGAGGAGGAGGGTCCGCGAATGCCGCAGAAAGGAAGTAGGGAGGGGTTAAGATGGCGTGCAGCAGTAACCGCGGTGATAATCGCGGCTGCAGCAGTGACAGCAGTAGCAGTAGCAGCAGCAGTAGCAGCAACAACACACACAAAGCTGCCAGCCATCCCACCCCAGCTGGTCACCCGCCAGGCCCCCTCCTACCGCACTTACCATGAAGCTCAGCTCGGGTACTTGCTGATAGCCGCGACCCAGCGACAGGTCGGGAACGATGCCGGGCAGCAGAGCCGTATCTGCGGGAGGAGATGACCCCGTACAAACGCATTACATATATGTAACAAAAACATACATACATACATACATACATACATACATACATACATACATACATACATACATACATACATACATACATGCATACATACATACATACATACATACATACATGCATGCATACATACATACATACATACATACATACATACATACATACATACATACATACATACACACACACGAACGATAGGAGAATGGGGAAGGGAGGTCAGGGCAGGGCAGGGAGGGCTCCAAAAGGGGGTTAAGTGGGTGCCCAAGTCACGAGAGGGACGGGGAGGAGCTAAAGCGGATGGGGTGGGCGGGTGAGGGTGAAAAGGAGGGACAGGGGGCCGGGGTCAATAGGTTGTCGGACTGCGACGGCATGCAGCCCGTTTCGTACCACCCCGCCTGACACCCCCCGGCCTACAGCCCCCGGTCAGAGATCTCCTCCACCCCACCCCACCCCACCCCACCCCACCCCGCCCCACCCCGCCCCACCCCGCCCCACCCCGCCCCACCGCACCCCACCCACCCCGCTCTATCATCACTCGGTTACTTGAGGGAGCTCTCGGAGACCTCGAGGTGGTCAGGGTCATAATCCGGGAGGTGTATCCCAGGGGTTCCCGGTCCCCCTTTCCCCCCCTGGAGTCTGCACTCCGACAGCCAGCCATTTCCTGAACCTCTCTCCCCTCTCTCCCGTCACCAAGAGCCACTCATGGATGCAAACAGCTGCTTGGACATGGTTATTCCAATCCCCATACTCAAACACAAGTAGCCCAAACACACACGCCGAAACCCCGCGCAGAGCCGCGACCCCCCCGCCCCACCTGCCCGCAGTCTGAGTGGCGCCACACAGTCCTGGGGCACCAGGCGGGTGTCCACTGTGATGCGGAAGACCCGCATGCAGGTGACGTTGGCCTCGGGACAGGACCAGTCGATGATGCCGGTGCTGCCGATACGGTGGTTGGTGGTGTCAGTCACGATGCCGGTCTGTAGGGGGACCCGCGTGAATGAGGTAGGAACAGGTAGGGGAAGAGGAGTTGCGCGGGCGAGAGAGGTTAAGGTGGATAGGTAGAGAGATGGGCGGAGTGACCAGTGCGGGTAGCGGAGAAAACGGAGGGCAGGGGACATGTGTATGGGGATGTGTATGGGGATGTGTATGGGGATGTGTATGGGGATGTGTATGGGGATGTGTATGGGGATGTGTATGGGGATGTGTATGGAGATGTCCGGTGTGGTGTGTGAGGCGGCGGGGACGGGAGGCCAATGCGATGACGGAAGCCGGGAGGGGGCAAACAGGAGATGCGGCGGGAGGGGGAAGGGAAGGAAGTTGCTGTGTTTCTGCGTGGGGTGTGTGGAGCGTGTGTAGGGCTGCAGCTTCCAGCCGCCACAGGAATGCGTTATTGCGGTTCCGAGCCGTGTACGACAGTTGGACGAGCTGTCAAGACGCTCAGTTAGCCACGCTCTCCTGCACCGTCCCAAAACTAACACATCCTGTGGCCGCCAGCCCCCGGTAAACAAAGCCACAACGCAACAGCAACCCTTATGCGATGATCATCCGCACGAGCTGAGAAGCGCGGCTTTGGGAGATTCGGGGGAAGGCCGATTATGTGGATGATCAAGGTTATCCTATCCTCATCATCGTGCGTTTGCTATCCGTTTGTCTATTCCGTCGTACTGCTGTACCACTGGTGCCGTACCGAATTGCTAGGAAGAGGAGCCAGGAAGTAAATCTCACGCATGAGGTAATCTGGGTTGTAATGAAGCTGGGCGAGGATGTCGAATACGACGAATCCGCTGAGGGTTTGGTTGTAGGGCATGCCTGGCAGGGGAGAGGATTTGGAGGGTGGAATGGGCGGGACGGGATGAAGGGGGTTATCGGACAACGGGAACACGGGCATATGGCAGCAGGTACAAGATGGTACCGGCGAAAGGACAGCACCGTTGCACCCAGCTGCTGCTGGCGAAGTGCTCATTCTTAGGTCGCGGATTGTGTTTAACTTACATGCGCCAAGATGAAAATGCCGGCTGTCCGATGACACATTCAAGCCTGCGTCCGTCCACCATTGCTGTGCCTCGATCCAAAATCGTGGTTCAGGCCATCCCGAGCAGTTCCTAGGCTGCGTCAACATGCGTTCTGGCGGAGGCAGCGACTGCGCGAGGGCTGCCTGGTTGAAAACTGCTGCCAACAAAGAAGCTAGGAAAGCCAGCACAAGCATTTTAAATATTCTTCTTAGCATTGCCGGTGTAAAACAGTGGCAAAAGTAATTAGCCAATGACTTCTGGTTCGCCGAACGTAGCAAATAAACGTACGCGGTACCTCGCCAAAGAGAGAACCTACGACCCTGTCTACCTTGAGAATCAAAGTACCCTATAGCCTCTATTCAGGTGTATCTTCAGAAATGATGCAGTAACCTTTGCATAATGGCTTTGATCTCGTCAGTCGCCTTTGTGGCGGGCGTGAAACTGTGGAGCAGTTGTGTATAACAATAAATTATAGATTATGCATCTTTCCTACACGCGCGGAATACGGAACTCCTGAGGGACATGCTTGCACATTTAATTGGTGCAGAACGCCGTGCACAAGTAGTTGGTGGTTACGCCCGCCCTACACTGTAAAGCAGAAGCGGACCATTGCCAACGCAGCGAGGGCAGATACTAAAGGAGTCAAGCACAAAATACGATATTTCTGAAGATTCTTTAGCAAGAACAAAACCATGTACCGACGCTGCACCTCGACCGAAGCTAAATGCGTAGCTTCCTTCACCACGATCGAACCGTATCGCCGTTGCACTTATTCCTCGGCACGGTTAAGCCCGGCACAACGCAGTGCTGTTCGAAGGCTAACTTTTCCTACAACAGTCCATGTCCTTTCTGCGCGTCGTGGTATTCATCCTACGGTACCCCAATATTAAACGCCATCGTTATCACATGAAATGTATCTATAGGCAATAGTGCACTTTAAACCAATATAAATATGTTGTGTATTCAAAATATCAAAATCCCACCGGTAATCATTTACAGCCCTACCGCTTGCACAATCGCCGGGGCCCAGTAGCATGTAGCAGTGCCCTTGACCGTACGCTGTCAAGGTAGCCCGCTCCCAACTCAAAATTCCCGCCAAAAAGCACACGAGCAGCAAGTCCACCAAAAACTACCACTGCCTGCCACAACCGCCTCCTAAGCCCCCAACCCCGCCCGCTCCAACCCACCAAACAAACGTTGCTAATCAGCATGTACTTGCCCGTGCAAACCCCCTCTCAAAAGCTGACCGCCCGAACTCCCCCCTCCAGGCAGCTGCCCCTGAACCTGCCCAATGACCCTCGCACCACCCGACCAGGTCCCCCCGCCGCTGCGCAATCGCTGCCGCAACCCCAGCTCCGACTGCCAAAGCAACACCGCGAACGCCGCCCCTGTTGCTAGGCTCATCCGCAGCACAAAATTGAGCGGCAACACCACCACCAGCACCACCGCCACGCCGGCGGCGCTGACTAACGCAACACGAGTGCCGCTGACCAGCACCCGCACCACGAAGCGCAGCGCCGCCTCCACGCCCGCGTCCATAGCGTGGCGGCAGCGGTAGTAGGCCGCTGGGATGGTGAACGCGGCCACGTAGCAGAGCAGCCAGAACGTGGGCTGCGAAGGACGGGGCAAAGGAAAGGACACGCGAACTCAGGGGGTTACCTACCGGTGAAAGCGCGACGGGGAGGGCGAGCCTGGGAACAGGGGGAGAAGTACACCCCGGGGGTTCCGTAAAAATGAAGCGTGAAATCGTTGCGTCACACGTCGCGCGCTCTTTGAGTTTAGAATGCCATTATGAGCTACCAGTTGAAAGCCGGGCACGAGCAGCGAGGGTTTAAAGCAAGGGCGCAAAAAAGGGAGATGCGGCGATGGGCTTGAGTTGTTAGGGTCGCACGTAAACTCCAGGAGAACCCTGGCCAGGGTGCTGCAGAATCCTTTTTCCACTGCAAAGCGGTAATAAATCATTGCATTGCATCATTAGCGATTGTGAACCTCTACGCAGCCGCTCTCTGGTGTCTAGCCCCTGCACCTCACGACGGTCGCCACGGACGCAGGCAATTTCTAAGAAGCATCGTACCACCATTTCCCCTCGCTCTATAAGCACCACCGGGCTCTATCCTGCACACTACACGGGTTGGACAACCTTCTGCGTTTGGTAAGCCCTGATCCGCAATGGCACCTAAACCCCGACGGCGACAGCATGCTGTCCCCTTCGGGAAAGAAATCTACCTAAGCATTTACAAGGCTGCAAACAATTTGTACCAATTTGTACCACGGATATGAATATTGCTTTCGGCTTCCGCGCCTCTATTGCATTCGCGCCTTTGGTATATACACCTCGCAGTGCTCCAGCGCCGGGGCTTAAACCGTATGTAGAGTTCTTCAATGGTTCACATAAAGCATATGAATAAAGCATATGGTGGTCCTTAAAGCAGTGTTTAACTCCCGCATTTTTCTGATATAATCCCGCGGCCCCCTCCTGGCCCCCAGCCGCTCACAGCTTGTTAGTGCCCCCCCTCTGCGGCTGCCTTTTCCTCTCGCAAGGGATAAGACAACCCCCCACCCCAACACCCTCCCCACACACACGCACGCACCTGCGATATGAGCCTGAGCTCCCCTAGCACCATGCCCAGCCATAGCAGCGCCGCCACCAGTGCAGACGTGATGGCACGGCGGCCGCTCAGTAAGGCCCAGCCCAGCACCAGCAGGGCGGCACCATACCGTGCCGCCCCCACTGCTGCCCGCTGGAACGCGGCCTCTAGCCGCTGGTGCAGCAACATGGCCGCCTGGGAGGAGGAAGCGGCAGTAGACAGCAGGAGAACGAAAAACATCGAAGCAAACCGGAAAGTGTTGTGTGTGGGGACGGGGGCAGGCATGAACCATCAAGACCTGCGAACCATTCCATTTGGCCCACCCTGAGGCAACCTTTTTGATCCCCCAAGCCGAGCATGGGTGGGCCCCCCTTTCTCGCTTCTCAATGCAGCAACAACCGGTGATGGCATATGAAGGCATATGTCGACAAAAAGGCGCTGCAACACCGCAATGCAGGGCGTCGCAACCCCGACCCGGCCTTTACCGTGTGTGTGGGTCATATAACTTTCGTCCCCTCACCCCAAGCCCCACCTTCCGCCTTTCCACTTCTTCCTGGTCTAGCGCCTGGCTTGGCGAGCACTCGTCCGCATCGCGGTCCTCCAGCGCCTGCCGATGCTGATCGTGCTGCTGCTGCTGCTGCTGCTGTTGGGTCCGACGGTATGTGCTCACCGCCTCCCGCACCACATTGCGCAGCAGCAAAAGGAAGCACAACGCGAACACCGCTGTGGAGGGCTGCAGCAGCTCGTGACCTGTGCGCGTACACATACAACAACGCGAATTCAGCCTCGGCGGTGTTTCAAGAGCGCATGGCAGCCGTGCGGCGGCGGCGGCGGCAGCGCCACGGGCGATGCACGGTGGCAACGGCAGTTACGTGAGGGTCAGTGTACGGGGCAGTGCCATATGGCATCGCATCGTAGGGGTGTGTGCGGCGCCACAGGGAAATGTGCGCTAGGTGCCTTGTAATGCCCCGGGGTCTGCGATGCCACAGGTTGGGTTTTGGCACCACATTTGAGTGTACGTAAGCTTGCTTGAGGCGGAGTTCGAGGTGAGTCTTATGTATGTATGTATATATGTATGTAAGTATGTATGTATGATCTGTGGGACAGGGGGGCATAACTTCACCCGTGGCCGCTACCCGGCGACACTCTGCCTTCCCCGGTATTTCAGGGCACCCTCATCCAGTCACCCTAGTCAACTTCTCAGTGGATCGCTTAGGTTCCGCACCCACCACCAGCATCCAACGGAAACTGCCGTATCAATGGCGGCCCAACTCCATTCCTGGTCGGCCCGCGAGTCAACTTTATCCCAGGTCACCACCGTCCATCCGCTAGGGGCACTTTACCTTCCACCATCGGAAGGGTTTTCGACCCTGACAGGTCTCGATCCCGGGATCTCCTGGGGGCAATGGTCCGTGCCTTACCAGTAGTGCCTGACCTAATGTATGTATGGCAGGTATGTATTGTAGGTAGGTAGGTAGGTAGGTAGGTAGGTATGTCACCAAAGCTGTCAACAGGCAAATGGGCCCCGACTGCAACTGACGCCTCCGCTACAGCCTCCGCTGCTGCTGAAGACCATTACCAACTGAATAATAACCCAATCTCAATGCTCCACCACCACTGCCACTCGATATCCCGTACGGATTGTATCGTGCCATTGCGTAGGCAAGGCGGCTCGGGGTATGCATACCTTTCGTCAGCTGCCGCACACATACGGCCATGTAGAGTCCCGCTCCGAAGACGCGGCTCGTGCGCCAGGGATTTCGCCAGACCAGGACGTCGCGGACTGCGTGGACGGCCTCCAACGATGGCGCCGCCGAGGGGGAAGCCACAGTACGGTCCACATGCGCCGCGACGGGTTGCTCGCCGCCACCGGCGCTCACCACCACCTGTGCGCGACGCATGATCGTGACAGCCACACCGAGGGAAGAAACACCACGAAAAAATGGAAAAAAAACACTATCCACGAGTCAAAGATGTTCAATCCCACTTGGCCGTCGACCAAGCAGCCAAAAAGCGCCACCGGATACAATCTTCAAATATGCTTTCCGCAGCTCTGGGATTAAGGCCGAATCATTTAGGTAGCTAAATCCCTTTGAACGGCATAACAGAAATCTGTCCCCCATGAAATGTGTCCTGGATGGAGCCACAGGACCCACCCAGTAACAGAAGGTAACACCGCCCGGTAGGCGCCAGGTGCGGTGCCCTGGGCCCGACCCACCTCCCCCGTCTCCTTGAGGCCGCGATCGAGCTCCGTAAATTGCCCTGGTCCCGGCCCTTGATCTGGTGCCATTCCGATGGGGCTGCTGTTGCCGTTGCCAAACCAACGCCAGGGGCTGAGCCCCACCACCATCGCGTTGACCACCGTACCCGATACGCGCAGTGCGGCCTGAGCGGCGTGGGAGGCCGAGCCGCCGCCGCTGCTGCTGCCGCCGCCACCACCTTCATTGATGCCGCCAGAGGCGCTGATGCGCGGCCCGCCACGAATATCATCTATGAGCTCCACTTCGTCTTGTTGCCCAAGGAGGGAAAGGAGACGGAGGAAGGACGAGGAAGGAGAGAGTAGATTTATTGCAGGACGGGAAAAGGATTATTAGAACGATTGAAGCTTGGCGGATGAAGGCAAGGGAATGGGATGGATGAGCTATCGCGCCATGGCAATGCAGGAAGGAGGCAATCTGGGTCAAGGGTACATGGCGTGCCCTGTGCGCGCATGTGGGGGGGTTGCAATTGCCCACACGCTGTCTTGTGTCGCTGGCCGAATTCTGCCCAGGCGGTCACCGCCTGCAGCAGCAGCGCCCCGTGCAGGCCGCGCCCATAGCCTCGCCAGGCACCGGCACCTTTTTGACCGCATCGACACCATTATGAAGGCTGCACGCGGTTTGTCGAGGCTGGACTCATACCGAAATCCGAAAAGGTTGAACTGGTCTTCCCACCTATCTCCACCCATGCCAATAAGGCCCCCATACGCCATGTGTACATGACTCCCGTCCTCCTCCCTAGCCCTGGAGAGCACAATTTTGGTTGGCTGGCCTGCGGAGTGTGCACTCACTCCCAGGCGGTTTTCAAACGGACTTCTTAGCCAGGCACGTGCACAAATGTGTGCTGTGCGGGTTACCCAGAAGGATGGCCAAGGCAATAGCCTGGAAGCGCCATAGAAACTGCCTTACCTGCTTCAAGCGGGACCCCCAGCGAGTCCAGCCTAGATGCAGCAACACCCTTGCTGGCTCGGGTGGGGGGCATAGGGGGCCGGGCGGTGGCACTGCTGCGTAGGCGCCCCCGGCTACCCCACCCGCGGGACACAGTCTGCAAATCCCGAAGCGGGACGTCGTCCAGCTCGGCACCAAGCTGAGGTGGAGGCGGATGTGGATTGTGTCCTGGTGAAGACGATGCGAGGGGAGAGGAGCTGACCGGCAGTGGCGCTTCACGCGGCGGTGAGGCGGCTGCGGCTCCTTGAGCGGTTGTGTCTCGCTGGTCGACCATGAGGTACTCCTCGACCCAGGACGCGACGCCTTGGGCCTGTTTAACCATCAGGACCAGGAGCAGCATGAAAGCAAGGCATCAAGGGAACGCGCACCGTCTAGCTGTGAGAGGTTGGGCAGGTCAGTAACCTGGTCATATGCTCATGTATAGATAGCAAACAAGCGTTTCTGGGAATGGGCGGCAAATGGCATATCGCCAAGTCTTCCCTGCGAAACCCCCCGCAAGGGGTATCTGTCGTAAGCCTGTCACCTCACCTCGGAGACATCGTCTGACTTTCTCCCGACCTTACTAGGCTTGTCTGAATAGCGAGCATGTATGAGCTGATGTCCAGCTCCCGACTCTGCAATCATCGACAGTGAAAGGGCGGGTGACTGCAGAATCGACCCGACACGAGGTAGAGCCGCCAGTGCCTACCTTTAGATGCTGCCAGATGTTTGTAGAATGCAGTAGCCGTCGTCGCGGTGAATCCGCAAGAGCAGACATACAACATTCCTCCTGACCTGCTGTAACTCATAACGCTTGTGTGTAGTATTTCATATTTTGAACGCTTTCTTCTAGCTTCTGTGTTTCAGGTTTGGAGACCTTTTGTTACCAAGGGTTATTCTTCATTTCCATCTCTGAATGTGCATTTCTTGCTGCCCTGGAATATTGTTCACGCTGCAACAGTAGTTTCAATTCCTGGAATCGTTCGTCTTGCTACTCCGTGTTTCCCCGGAGCATGTACGACGCTCAATTCCCCCTCTGTGTACATTCAGGGCCTCAAATGTACTTAAGGAGATGCTTGTGATAAGCAGCTTTCTATATTTAAGTTTGTAAATCATTCCGCTGTACGTGCGCGCGTTGACTTGTGCAATTATGAGCAGGAAGCCGTATGCGTTTTTCTGTGGCACACCGCCATGCTTTCATCGTCGCATCCATAATAATAATACTAGATCCGCTGCCTCTTTAAGTAATTGCACGGTCACATGTTGCATGTTGCATCGGCACTAGGCATCGGTTGGTGGTTAGGATCCTGGCACCGATACTCAGGAACATTGCATCAAGGCCAGGCATCGGCAAATGGAGTATCGCTGGTTTCGGGGACGGTTCCATTTCTGTCATCATTTACTGCCGGTTCCCGCAGGAGCTTTCGTATGGGATGCTATACCATGGGATTGCGATACTATGAAATTAAATGCCTTACCGAACACATGCCAAGGTTTCTCAACACAGAAGGGCTCCGTGAACGAAGAACTTCCTAATAGGATAGTCCCAGAGCGCCTTCAATCCTTGGTGTGTCCCTTTCTCCCTTAGCGTCTTTCGTGCCTTGGCGAGGCCACAGTGTACGGCACGTGTCAGGGCGCTGACCTATTGTAGGCACCATAAAACGATAACAACGTATGCTGCTCCTAAGCAGTGCCGCCTCAGCTTTCGTCTTTATAACGTACTTAATCGCTAATTCACAACGCACCGTCAGATTGTTATGTTAATCGTAACTTCACATGCGCTTGTGAAGACGGCCTTCTCTGCTCACCGCACACCGTGTAAATATAATGGCTGCGGCAAGTCGCTATTTGGCTTCGCCGCATGTGACGACATATGCATCAACAGCTTCAGGCGCGATGGCAGCACGTATCATCCTCGATCACATGTCTTATACCTAAATATCACCTTGCCGAATGCGATGCGCACATCTTTTAACCTTTCCCATCACGCATGAGGTCACAATTCGATCAGTGTCTCTGTTCCTTGTTGGACTCCCAACTAAACGGAGTAATTACTCTACGGTTCCCTTGATCATCTCCTGGACCCCCGGGGCCCCCAACCCCAATAACTCTCAAACAGCATCGCCTGGTGGCAGCACCCAAAAGGCTGAAATGGGAAGCCCCACATCCGTGACGTTGCGCACACCCCTTGCAGCCTGCACGCCAATGGCATGGGAAAGGTGTAGTAGCTATGTCTGCTGGCCCTACTCCCCCCTCCGGGAGACCCGCTCCTCCCCCCCTCCGGTCGGGAAAGTTCCCTGCGCGCCCCGGCCTGATGCCGGCACATGCTGCCCTCATGCCCGCTCATGCGCCCTCCCAGTTACCACACCGGCGAAAGGCGCCGAGGACGCTCCCCACCGCGGCCGCGAGCCCACTAGCCAACGAGCCCATGCTGCCACTGTTGCCGCTGCCGCTGCCGACAGTGCTGCTCTCGCCCAGGGCGTTGTCGTCGCCGACGGGGTGCATGGGGCCGACAAAGGTATTGTTGGTTCCCAAGGCGCCGACATTGCCGCCGCTGCTGACGAGTCCAATGGTGACGTCACTACCGACGTCGTACGACCCGAAGACTGCCGGTGTGGGGTCGCTACCGGAGGCCGCCGGCCGGGGCACTTGAAGCGTGTTGGACGACAGCCCGTCGGCCCGCCGCTGCCGCCGGCTGCGACCGTGGCTGTAGCTGACGCTGAGGCTGCGGGTCCGAGAACGCGATGTACCCTCATTGTTGCGGTTGCTGCTGCTGCTGCTGCTGCCGCCGTTGTTGTTGCTGCTAGTGCGCAGCCCGGGCCCCATGCTTGCTGTCGCTTCTGGCGAGGGAGGCTGAGGCTGCCAGCCGCCATGTCCGTCTTGCAGCTGGGGCTGCGGCTGTAGCACATGGAGCTGCTGACGTATGTACTGCAACGGCTGCTGCTGCTGCTGCTGCTGAGGTTCATTGAGGGGGGTGTCCAGGTAATCGGTGTACAGGACCACGTTTTCAGCCAAGGCGGCCGCAGCGGCATTGGCTTCCGCCGCGGCGGCAGCGGCGGACGAGGCGGCGACTGCCGCCTCTGCCGCCATGCGCGCCAGTTCATCCGCCACCTCGCTCGTGGCCCGGACGAGCGCCCGCGGCGGCGGCGGGGGCGGCGGCGGCAGCGGGCAGGGTGTAGTCGGCGGCTGCGTCAGAAGGTGCTGCTGCTGCTGCGGCTGCGGCGGCTCATGTTGTAACCCATGTTGATGTTGCTGCTGCTGCTGTAGCGCGGCATGGTTTGCCAAGCTGGCGCAGTATACCGCCGCGTCGAAGGCATCCAACCCTCTGAACCGCAGGTCGGACTGGGTGGCGGGCTCCTGTATGCAACACCAACACCAACACCATATCATTACGAAACGACAGAAGGGCCACGAGGCCCGATGGCGGGCAGTGCGAGGTGGCGGAAGGATAGAAGCCGGCGGAAACGAGCAGCAGACGGTTGGACACCTTCATAATTAGAGGTTTCTGTAGCTCTGTACTTCGCCTAAACCCAAGTCAAGACGTGACCAGAGTTAAAAGTAAATCGGGTAGAGTGCGCAGCGCTTTTCGATGTGTAGTGGGACGTGGGCGATGGCGGAAGGAGGTCCCCGTCAGGCAGCAAAGCTAAAGATCGGATGCATGCGTGTGACATCGCGCCATATGAAGAGGTGGTGCGTGTGCAGATGATGCTTATGGCCATCATCAACCTTGATGACTGGCTGATCCACGTGGAGGAAGAGGATAAGTCCCTTTTATGTGGCCATGGCGCTGAGCCCCGTGGCGCTGCTTCCCCGCCATATGTACGAACGCATGTACGAACGCACGTACGAACGCATGTACTGCCACGCACCTTGCAATGGAACACGACATCGAACTCCATATGAGGGGGTATGTTGAGCTGCAGCGGGAGAGTGAGGGTGGATGGATTGGAGGGGATTTGGGGCGGCGAGGAAAGAAAGGCGGTGTGTGGTGAGCTACCCGGGGGAGGGGACTAAGGCCGCACGCACAGTCTGGCCTCTGCGCTCTGCCATGCAGCTCTTTTCGTGGTTCATGGCACCTGAGGATTGCGAGGCGAACCGCCTGCGCTTACCTGGGGGGTCCATCCCCGGTGGCATCTCGCCGCAAATTTCTAACAGGCTATGAATTCGATACCACCTAACCAGCTACCCAACCGACCACCTGGGCACCCAGCAGCCAGCTACTTATTGCCCTGCTCCAATGCCCGTACAGTGTTGCAGTTGCAGCTGGGTATCAGCCCACCGCGCCCCGGCGGACCCTTCTTCCCACGCGGGTTCCTATTTCAGGCGGACGGACGGCGTCCACATCCCTCTCACGTTTCAGGGCCCAGCAGGTCCTCAGGGTCCGCAGCTGTAACGAACCCCGCCTATAGGCCGCATGTATCCCAAATTCCGCTCAAAGGAAACCGATCGCACGTACCAGCTGCCTGCAGTCCTCTATGAACTGTCGGGTGCCCTCAGGTCCAGGTCGTACACGGATCTTGTGGCTGTGGGGGACAGGTGGATACGGCGAGGATGTGGGATGTACGATTGCCGTATGACTGTGCAAACGAAGGCCCGCGGCGCAAGGAGCCCAAGGACCAGCAGGGCATGGAGAAAGGAATATTGAGGTCATAATTGGAGTTCCGTTCTTGACGATAGGGGTAGAGACTTAAAAATAACAGATGCTTCTGCATTGATAACGTCTGTTTCGCGTTGCTTCCCTTCTGGGTTTTACATGGGGCTGATATCAGCGCCGTGCTTTCATGTACAAATTCCCCCCCAGCAGGGACCGGCGCAACAGGCGCCAAAATGGACAAAAAAACAGCCGGTCCGCCCCTTGCCTAGCCGACTCCTGACTTTGTGTAGGCTCTACAAATCGGGTTGCTGAGCCGGCTCAGCTGCCCTGCCAGCGAGCGTCCCCCTACCTCTTTTTTATGTCCATCTCCGAGAACCACCACTGGCAACTCGTACGGCAGTTTGTATGGCAGTTAGCACTCCCCGACATCCCAATGCCCACCCAAGCGCGGGTTTGATAAAGTGACGCCCGTGCTACACATTTCCCTCATCTCCTATCTCTCATTTCACGTCAGAGGCAGCTCTCGGCGCTTTTCCCTTCCCTTCCCTTTCCTTTCCCTTCCCTTCCCTTTCCTCGCCCATCTCGTCTCTGTCACCTGCGGCCGTTGTAGCTGATCCTCATGTAAGCCGGCGGGGCCTCCGCAGCGGGTGGAGGTGGCGCTGCGGAGCCCTCCACCGCGAAACCGGCGGGCGGCACTTGGCGCCAGTCGGGCAGTGGGTCACCACAGAAACGGCACAGCTTCTCCTCCCTGAGCCCCGGTTGGGACAACCCACCAAACCGCCAGCCACACACACGTGCACACGCACATGCACACGCACATGTTCATATAAACATGGATTAGATCAACAAGGAATAGAAAGTCGTGGGGATTGGGGGTTAGGCGGTTGGTGACAGAAAGACCGGAGGGGAAAAAGGGTGAAGGACTGAAATAGAGAGACAACACAGGAGGGGGGACCAGGTCCAGTACCGAAACAATGTGGGATCCATATTGCACTCCTGCCACTCGAGTTCAGTTGCGTCCAGGAAACGAACGCGCGAACGCGCGATCACAAACCGTTTTCCTTAAGGATGGCTTTTTCAGCAATGCATTTATTAATATACCTATGTGGATGCCTGCGTGTACGACACTCCCCCAGGCCCCTCAACCCCACTCACTGTCGGCCTGCGCAGTGCAGCTGCCAGCGGGACAAGCAGCCCGGGTGGCACACCCGCGGACACCTGATCACCGCCACCGTTGCAGTACCCGGTAACAGCAGTAGCAGCAATGCAATAGTAATAGAATGAGGAGCAGCAACAGTAGCAGCAGCAACAGCAGTAGCAGCAGTAGCAGCAGGGTCGGACGCGGGGCAATGGGGCAAGCAACAGGGGTATGGGGCCACTGTTAGTTGGAAGAAATCAGCGGTGAGGTCAGGTCGCATCTCCCATCACATCACCACCACGATCATCACCGTCACCACCACTACCACCACAACCGCTACCAATGGCCGCAACAGCCTAGCAACCGCATCCTCACCCCTTCATCTCCCCCTTTCTTTCCCTCTATAACCCTCACCCACCCTCCCACCGCAGATTCCATCATCCCCTTAAAAAGAGGGAGGGTGTGCCGCCACGCGAATCCTCTCCAGCTTTCCCCCTAGCTTTCTTCCTTACAGACACACACACGATACTCAGACACAATACACACACGATATATACGCAATGGTCGTTAGCCCCAAGCTCACTCAGCTACCTGCACGGGGCCACAAGCGGACCCAGACCTTCCTCCTCGGCACTCAGACATAGCCAGCACACGTCCTCGCTGTCGGCGCCGTCCGCCGCAAAACCCGTCCGCTGCCCCTCGCTTGCTCCCCCAGTCACCTTCCCAACACCCGCCATATCTGACCCCAGCATGCCACTGCCGCCGCCGCTATTGCAGCTGCTGCTGCTGCCAGCGCCGGTACCGCTTTTGCAGTTCTTGTTGTTCATAGCATGACTCGATTGCTGCGGTGGGACGTGAGCCAGGGAGTCCGTTGTGTTGAGCTGTCCAAGGTTTGGTTCGCTGTGCGGCACCTGCTCCTGCTCTTGCTGCTGCTGCTGCTGCTGCTGCACCTGATACTGTAGGTGCTGGTGGAGGTGGCTGAGGTGGAGGTGATGGCGCCGCTGCTGCTGCTGCTGCTGCTGCTGCAGACGCTGAGGCTGGTTTTGCAGATGCTGAGGTGTCTGCTCCCATAGGTGCTGCGGGGGCTCAGAGCTCAGGGAGCTCATTTCAGTCGTTTCGATGTATTCAGCGGGCGAGGTGGATGGAGGTCAGGGCGGGAATGTGCCGGGGTAGCTCCAAGGCGAGGAGGTGATGCGAAGAGGTGATGTGGGTCCGCGACCCAGTCAAACCGCAGCCAAGCCCTGCAGGCCAAAAGTAGCTCCTCCAATAATCGCACTTGCCCCTGCGAAGCATGGATGTTTTTCTTGGCATGGGAGTAGTCTTTATCGGACAGGCCAGTAACGGGAATGGAATAGTGCCAAAATAGGCACCAAACGGGACCAAACAAGACGGTCCAAACAATAAACGGGCAGCTAGCAGGCTACGTACGGCAGCCCGCAAGCCAAAAACGAGCGAGCAGGGAGGCGGGCAGGAAGGCAAGCAAGATAGACAGGCAAGGGTTCTCCTAATTGGTGAACAAGACCTTGCCGTTTGCCCCAGCACTTGCTTCTGAAGCTTTCGATTGAGCGACACTCGTGCACTTGCACGCACGCGCGCAGCTAGAGAGGCTCTCCGTGCGCACGTGAAAAGTCAGCTTGTAGTTGGTAATTGCTTGCAGAGCAGAAGCTGACGAGCCTCGAAGACAAGGCAGGAGATAATGTGTCAAATTTGTTGCACGTATGGTAAGATGCCTTCACATTCACACGGCCAAGGTACGGCCCGTTGAACCGAGTGGCTGCGGGAAGTAGGGAAGGTGACCCCCGGGTCGGACGCAACGAACCCAACGAATTCCATTACGATTTTTGATGCTTGCTCCAAGTTCCCAGTTGTACAGAGCCAAAGAAACCTGTTTCGAAACACAGAATGGCAAGGAGTACTGAAAAAAATAAATAAGGACTTGCCTGTAACGGCCTGCGAGGCAAGCGGCCTAGTAATCAACGAAGGGCAGCGAGTGGGCTAGCTGGCAGGGCAGGCGCTGGCTGGCCTAGCTGCTTAGCTTGCCGTTAAGCTCAGTTCATAGCTGTGCTCGCTCGTGCGCAGATCTTGAGCTAACAGTATGAATGAGGGATCGAGGACGCTCTGGAGTTTCAAAGGTCGGCTCAGCAATGCTGGAGAGGGTGGCTGACGGGTCGAGGTAATCGCGAGGGGGCCGAGGGCTGCTGCAGCCTTTTGCTTGGCACTACAACTAGGAGGGGGAAGGCGTACGAGGAAAGCCCAAGACGACAAGCAGTCTTGAACCGTTTCAAGTTACAGCTCTATGGACAAGCGGTATCTTGGAGGACAGACTTTTCAATGTCCCAAGCTGGCAATGATAATTTTGGCGAGGTTCCCGGGAAAGCGACCAGGGCTTTGTAGGAATCATTAGGGGCGTATGCTGGAATGAGCGATGTCAGAGGCGTCTGCTAGGTGTTTGGTTGATGTGTGACAGGCAGGCAACTAGGGCTGACGGGCTGGCTGGCTGGCTCGCTGGCTTTCTGGAGCTTTTTGAGTGGCGCCCATCGGGAATGTGAGGAAGACACAGAACGAGCAAGGGGGGCACCTGCTGATGGCATCGATGAAAGAAGGCGTACGAGACCGGCCGCCGCAGGCCGTAGATGCGCTGATGGATATGGAATAATTTATTGGGTGTCGACAGGCGACAGCTTCCACCAGCAAACCACCAGCAAACCACCAGCAAACCACCAGCAAACCACCAGCTTCCACCAGCAAACAGCAGCAACAGCTTTCAACAGTAGTATAAGCTGATGGCTTACCTGCATGTCAAAGGCAGTACAACCCGGTGTACAGTACGGGTGGATTATCCTACCTTTCCTTTCGCCGCAAGGGGTTTATGATTTTTACTAATTCCGAAGGGGCCAATAGAAATCTGTCACCGGAGTGGCGTTCAAAGTTTGTGGTGGATGGGCCAAGATCTCCATAGGATGGCCAATTTTTATTAAGATTTAACCTATACTAGTGCTGTCAGGCTAGAGTTTCGCAAAGATCCGTTAGCCAGTCTCAGGGTTGCCGTCTGACGTTTTTCCCTGGACCGCACCAACATCTCAGTCAGTCACCCTGGGCGCCGGGGGCCCTATGGAGCGCCGGGGGTCCTCTTGACAGCGGATGCCGACCGACACTTTTTTTTATTTGGCATTTTCTTTCCTTTTCCTCCTCAAGTACAAGCTTCTTGAACTCAAGTATACGGCCCCCAGACGGGATTAGAGGCGCATGAGCCATTCTCGAGTTATTAAATACACTAGCACGTCCCAATACACTATCAACCCATGCTGTAAACAACATAGTCCCGCAAGCCGCACAATTAAGAGAGAGAGAGAGAGAGAGAGAGAGAGAGAGAGAGATGTAAGGAGGTTCCTAGTCTTAAAACTGTACAAAAGGAGGAAAATTAGTACTACCTCAATTACCATTGTTATCGTGAAAGGCAACGTGTGCGTAAATGTCCCCACCGAAACAAACACTGAGCCAGCTGGGCGGAGACTACGAAAGAAGTGCTCGCACAGAAAGAGAACCCGTCGACATGCGCAAGGAGGAAAGAGAGGTTGGAACAAACTTCGGCGCGGCAACAGAGTGTACAGGAGGGCTTTCCATACCGAAGAATTTTGTTGTTGTGAGACACAAACATCCAATAATCCCAAATCCCCTCCCCCTTGCGAGGGGGACCCCCACAAATCCAGCTCAACCTTCGCACGCAAAACGACCCCCGGCATGCTTAGTGCCGTACAGCCTGACCGTCCAGCCACTCAGACAGCGCTACTTCCTTCTGTCGGACAGTTTCTCATTTTGAACACGTCGCATCACCAGCATCCGCCGGCAACGTACACCACGCTCTACAGCCCAAGCCCACTTGCTTCAACAGCTTTCCGCTCTATAAGTAGACTCTCCTTCAGACCCGTCGAACTGCGTTCATCTCTAAGCTGCTTCTCTGCTATAAAACGTACACATGCAGGCAGACAGACAGATAGACAGGCAGACGCACTGTGTGACAGACAGACAGACAGGCAGGCAGGCAGACGCACAGGGTGTGACAGACAGACAAGCAGACAGTCCCATACGCCGCCACGCCTCTCCTCCACAAATCAGCAGCCGGAAGTTCCGCAAGGGACCTTCCCGCAAGCATTGGTATTCTTTTGCTCTACATCCGCGGGTTGTTCCCTGCGTCGCACATCGCGCCACGACGTCTTTCTTGCCATGCTGCGTTGCCATGTGGCATGCGCCCTGCCAGCAATAGCGACCACAATAACACAATAATAACACACCCGTTTTCAACCCCGAGTCGAACCGCGATGACCGTGTGCAAAAAGCTGCGTGTATTTTTTGCATCTCCTCTGCCCCGTCGGAGTCCCACGACCCAAAAACCACGACCCAGCCCGAAACAGATCCAGCCAGGATTGCCCCGCCTAAGAGGCCTCGGGCCTAGCTCTGAGTCAGGTAGGGAGCCTTCAGGGAACGGAGACGGACACCACGGCGAGGACCCACCGCCGCCTCTGCCGCCGCCGGCGCCTACGGCCATCCCCTCCCGACGGCATCGCCCGCTGCCGAGCTTCTTAAAAGCTCCCCCATCCCCTCGCCGCCCGAGCAACATCTCTCCGACCGAGTAAATGCGCCAATATGGACATCGTAAGTTGCACACGACCTCTTTTTCCCTCCGGAATTGCGTTCCTGTCCTGTCCTGTAGTTTTCTTCTTGTTAAGTACATGTGAGGTAATGCGCGGTATAGATAGATAGATGGATAGATAGATAGATGGGTAGATAGATAGATGGGTAGATAGATAGATGGGTAGATGGATAGAGAAAGAGAGACACGCACAACTCAATAAACCCAACCGCCTGCCGTGCCGCAACGATAAGAGCAAGGTACCCCCATCGCAGAAGTGCGACAACGTTACTAAAATGGAAGCCGCGACTCCCTCCCGTACCGCGCCGTACGGCATCCTTTCTCCGCCAATAGGATATGTACACGTGATGTCGCGCTGAGAAAGCTTTGCTACAGGTCCTCATGTCTTGAGGCAGCTCCCTGCCTCGCGCCTTTATCCCCACCACATTCCCCCACCTCCTCAACCCTACAACCTAGATGGGTGCTGCTTTTGCAACACAACGAACATGCATGCACATCCAAGCCATAGGGCCCAGGGGGCACCAACACAAGCTTGCAATTAATTACCACCGATCTCTCCATATGCCGCACCCTTAGCCGCCGCATTAGCCACTTTGCCCAACTCGTCATCCATGCAGTTGCAACGACCACAACGACCACAACTGTCCCCAACTCCTCTATCCAACCGCTCTATGATCAGATGTTGAAGTCCAGGACGTACTGCCCCCGCCGCTCCGCCGCCGCCATCGCCGTCGCCACCATGCCAGCCGCCGGTGAACGTGGCGCCGCGCCCACGTACGACAGCCGTACCGCGCCCGCCGTGTCCATGGAATAGATCCAATCCCACGACGGCTCGTAGCCGGGCATCAGGCTGGCGGCGGGGTGCAGCGGCGCCAGCTGAGTACGCAGCCCCCCGACGCCGTCGCCGGCGGCGGTGACGGTGAGCCGGAAGCCGTCTGGTACGACAAATGTATGGGCGCCGGAGATGGTGACGTCATGCGCCTCGAATTCCGACTGGCCGAGCAGTACGATCTTGCACGACTCCCTTCGTGAGACCTGGTGCTTCCAATAAACGTTATCTGGAGCTTCCCAATCAATACCGGCGTTCACCACACGCACGTTGACCAGCTGAACCCGCCCGCAGCGTCGGCTGTAGCGCAACAGCCCCGCGCTTCCAGGAGCTGGCGACATGCCACCGCCAGAATCGGCGCCGCTGCCACCCGCCGCGGCCGCCGCCTGTTGTTGCTGCTGCTGCAGCGGTCCGCCGTGTGCTACAGCCCTCGGCGGCAGTGACATCTCCAAAGTGCCGTTGTGAAGGCTAGAGATGGATAGCGTGGTGGCGGCTGTGGCGGCGGCGGCGGCGCCGTTACCATTACCAGCGGCAACGCTGCCGTACAGCGTGTTGTTGTCTTGCTCCTTCTTGGCCGCCGCCACCGCCGCGGGCAGACCGACGGACTCCAGATGGCCCATCACATTCTCCGCGTAGATCTAATAACCGTCGGCAGCAGCACGGCATGTGTACGGCAGGTTCGGATTGAGCACGACAAGCGCATGGCAGGTGGTGATTGAGGCTGCTGGTGATAATTGTTCGCGGGTAGGAGGGGAGATGTGGTTTTGGATAAGGGGATGGGGGGAGGGGGAAAAGGGAAAGCTGCTGGTTGTGGACAGTGGCAACACACAGGATACACATCAATACTGAACATGGCATTCTCCCAGCAGCACCAACCCTCCATAGTGCTCCAACATAATATGTCATACGCATCCCACGCCCCTAGCTCCAAGCCCACACCCCCTCTCCCCCAGCACGAACCCTCTCCCTTCCCCCCATCCGCGCCCCGGTGTCTGTGCCCTTGACCTTGTACCGCACCTCCAGGCTGCCGTCCAGGTGCAGCTGCTGCAGCCGCGCCTCCGCGACCTCCAGCACCAGTTCCGAACCGTGGGCCATGGAGCCGCCCACGATTTTCTGGCTGATGACGTCCCACAGCGGCCCCAGAGCCGGGTGGAACAGGAAGATGAAGCCAGGGCCCTGGGAAGCACAGGCGGAAGGGGAAGAGAGGGAAAGGCAAGGGATTGATAAGTGTATGATGATAATTGTGATGATAATTTTGATGATAGATGTGAAATGATAAGCGTGATGGTCTTCCCCCTTTTCTTGAGGAAAGAAGTTTTAAGATGAAGAAGTCCGTCATTGAAAAGAGCGCCCGGGAAGGAAGGAGAGGATCGAATTGGAGACGTAGGTAGAAACATCAAATGGCCGAGGACAGCCTAGCGGTGGAGTAGTGGTGCTGGCGGTGGTGCTGGCGGTGGTTGTGGTTGTGGTGGTGGTGGTGGTGGTGGTGGTGGTGGTGTAGAGCGGTGGCGTGGAGGGGCGGTGCAGAGCAGTGGAGGGGCTGCGGCGTTGCCCCCGTGGGGAAATTTCTTTTCCCTCTCCTCCTTCACACACACATACCTGATATTCCACTGTTAGGTTGCATTCGCGATGTTGACTACACACAGATAGACATATACACACACACAACCTTACGCACACCTTCACGCTGTCGCACCTTCTCCAGGTATTGTTCTGGACTGCCCGGCTCGGGCACGTTCTGTAGGCCGCAGCGCTGCAGCAGCTGCCAGGCGTTCCGCTGCAGGTCGTAGAAGGAGCCGTCCGGGGTCTGGGCGATGCGGGCTGATCCGGGCTGGCGGCGCTTCTTGGCGGAGGACGTCACCTTGCGGCGGAGGTTGGAAACCAGGAAGGTGGACAGACTGCGGGTGGAGCAGAGGGGAGCAGGGCGAACCATGAAGGACGAGTGAAGCTGCTGCCAAGGAAAGAGCAGAACTGACCAGGAGGCGGTTTCGAAGGAGGCGACGGAAGAGGGAAGCAGGACGACGTAGTGTAATAATTATTATCATTGTGATAATGATGATGATGATGATGATAATAATAAAAATAAAAATAAAAAATAATAATAATAGTATAGTAATAATAAATAAATAATAATAGTAATAACAACAATATACACATCACATCGTTGTGTACACTTTCCAGCGCCAGATCAACCCCCCCAAACCTTCATATTTTTCGTACTGTCCTCCGTTGCCCCTCGTTCGCCCTCTTTAGTCCCTCCAGTTTACCGCGCACAAAACAACAACAACAACAACAACAACAACAACAACAACAACAACAACAACAACAACAACTGCTACTACTACTACTACAAGAACAACAACCCGGCTGCAGGGTTCGACACTGACCTTCCTGAAACTTGCGGGCTCCCCCGTACCTCCCAAATTTTCCTTACGGAGGGGCCCCCGTACCAGGCTCCTGTACCGGCCGAAAACCTTACGGGGGCCCCCGTAACCCCCGCAAAACCTTTACGGGGGCACTGTCCTTGGCTGAAACGCTGTGGAAAGTGACGCTTTGCATTTTTTTGCCCTGTAAGTCGTTATTTTCGTTATTTTCTCGTGCTTCTTGGAGGGCGGTGGATTAGGAGGCCCTTGGTCACCTCCTGACGACTCATTGTCTGTCATCGCTGGATGTTACAGACCAGAAGCTATAAAAGTATTATGAAAAGTGTAGTTGAATATTGCAATATGAATTATGTCTGCCAAGTGTGTGGCCTTATCCTTCATATGGTCCGTCCTCTCCCCTACAGGGCCCCGTACGGCCTCTTATAAATCCTTAAAATCCTTACGGGAGCCACCGTAACCGGCCTTCGGCCGGTCCGGGGGCGTCCCCGTACGGGGCGCTTCGCGCCCCAAAATCCTTACGGGAGCCACCGAAAAGTCCTACGGGCCCTGACGGGGATACCGAAAAAAGGCCAAAAACTTACGGGCCCCGTACGGGGTGTCGAACCCTGCCCGGCTGCCTCCCCGCCTCGCCCTCTAGCAAGCCCGCCTCCCCGCCCCCCCGTACCCGGCCGTGGCCAACTCCTGCGGGTCCATGGGTCGGTCGAACCGGTCGGTGAGGAAGTCCGCCAGGTTCTGCATCGTGCTCTCCATGCGGCCTGCCGTGATCTGGGAAAAGAAAGGGAGGAGAAGGGCAGGCCGCGGCGGCGACAGCGTTTGACCGAGGAAAACACACAAAACACGGACTTGCAAGCGAGCAAGGGCTTTTGGAGCAGATTTGCGGCACGGGAAGTGTTTGAACAAGAGGCCGTCGTCGTATTGCCCCGGTCACCGAACGATCAACAGCGAGATCAGCGATTTAAAGCACAGGTACCCGTACGGCACATGCCCACACACGAGCATACATACAGACATGCACACAGACACACCTGACGGGTACTGCCATCCAGCGGATTGGTGTACGATACTTTCTTGTTGAGATTGAAGATAAGGCCCGGTAACAGCTGCTCGCCGTCACCGTTGGCGACCGCCTAATCGGGGGTTGGCGGTGCGGTGCGGGCGGTAGTGGGGCGGAGGTTATAGCAGGAGCGACCCCAGGACACCTAAGTCTCCCTCTTTAACACCGTGTGCTTCACCCACACGTCAATCGCCCGCTAGACGGTTACCTGGGCAAATAATACGAAATATGTTACTATGCTGTTGTGAAACGCCCATAACTTGGACTAAGTTATGGGATGCCCTCTTCCTTTTCCTTGCCGTCAAGAAACTGTAATTTTTGTCATTATTTTCCAAAAGAATTTTTACCGGATCTGGTGGGCGATGGATGCCCAGCAAGACGTCTCCCATTACCTACGGACAAAACCTTTCATGCGTACATGGATCCCGAAGCCACTCACCTCCGCCACAATCCGTTTCGCGCCGTACAGTCCGACGTACAGCACGTTCGTATTTGCAGGAAACACCGACGTCTTGGAGTTGGCCGACACCGCCTCGTCACTCAATCCCAGCCGCTCAAACTCAGTGTACTCCACATTCGTCACGCCGTATTCGTACACCCAGCGCCCGCCGTCGCCGCCCTCTGCCGCCGGCACCCACCGCCGCCGTTCCTGCAGTACATTCATACCCTCCGCCGCTCCAACCGCGCGTTCGCAGCTCATAAAACCGAATGCTGCGGCGCCGCCGCCTCGTCGCGCGAAACCCGCGCCCGCCAGCGCGAGCAACGTCGTGTCAGTGCCCGCCATTGGATTTGAGATTTGCCGTACAAGCGCGGCGCGGCGGCCGTGTCGCTTTGTGAGCCACTCAAACACGCCCTCATCCCACATAAGCTTCCATATGGCTCCGTGGCCTCCGGGCTTCATCATGGGACCCAGGGGTCGGCTCAGGAGCCACCTGGATTGACAGGACACACATGGGATTGAGAAAAAACAACCGAAAATGAGTTGGCCCCGTCCCCAGCACCCCTGACGCCTGGCCTTTCCCCCCCGCCCGCAACCCACAACTCACCTGCCGTCCTCCACGCCCACCACCGGCACCATGGGTTGCCTAAACAGGCGAAACGCCTCCGGGCCCCGCCCGCCCCACTGCAGGTCCGCCAGCAGCCGGGACACCCTGTCGTGATTTCCCTTGGCGTCCGACGTCATGATGGCTACCGGGGTGGTCACCTGCCGCCCCGTGAGCTGGAAATATAAGTACTCACGAGCCTGACGGGGGAGGAGGGACCGGTGAGGTTATCTTGTTGAAGTGGTGGTGGTTGTTAGGTGTGGAGGAAAGAGGAAATCATACGCAAGGAAATAATCAGAAATTATATGGTTATTTGGCCGGGCGGGGGGAAAAAGAGGAAGGAGAGAGGGGGAGGATAAGACGAACCACTGGCGAGTGAAGCAGATACCAGGAATAGACAATGCTGCAGAGAGGAGAGGGTAACAAGGCAGATGATGTAGAAGTTGTAGTGGGAATTGTGCTTGTCGTTGTTCTTGGTGTTATTATTGGGGGAAAGACGAACCACGAACGAGTGAAGCTGCTGTCAGGGCAAGAGTGTACCAAACGTAGAACTGACCAAAAGGCGTCCTTGTTATTGGGGGGAGGAGGTAGGGGAGGATAGAGATGAGGGGGGTGCAGGGGGGGAAACTTGACTGGATAGCACTGGTCAAGCAAGATGGTCAAGCAAAACCCAAAACCTTTTAACAAAAAACCGCTAAAACTGCTAAAACCCTTGCAAAAACCTGATTACGATACAGTTAAAAGAGAAACCCCTTCAAATTTACCCCTACGACAAGGCCTCTTTCAATAAAAGAAACCCATACGGGGAAAAAATGAACTAAACCTATTTTAAATGCATGTGGGCCCGGGCATGAAAGTACAGGCGGGCAGGGGAGGAATCTTCACGACATGGGGAAAAAGGGAAACCCCGCAACCTTCGGCGCCTCCTTCGCCGCCACACAAGTCCCGTTTCCCTCCCTCCCTCCCTCCCCCCCCGGGGGTGGGAATTGGGGAACCCCCCGGGGCTGCAGCCCTCTCGGTCGTGTAGGTGGCCGGCAGCAAGGGCGGGTGTTGCTACTGCCGCGGAGGCGGCCAGTGGGACCCAACTGTACGGGTCACCGAATACCGAGTGTCCGGGTGCCAGTTCACGGGTGCCAGTTCACGGGGGGCAAACACATTCCCACCACCCCTCTGCCCGGAGCCCTCCTCCCCCCTCGCCGTACAACACCTCCAAACCTCACTCCATCCCAGAAGCACCCCACTACCCACCTGCAAGTCCCGAATGAGCACCTCCAGCAGTGTACGACCGGCGTACGGCAGCATCGCCGCCGGCAGACTCTCCCCCGTCGTCTCGTCCACCAGCCCCAGGCGGTCCCCTGCCCCCCCCACGGGGTAGATCTCCGCCATGAAGGGCAGGGAGGCGAGGCCCTGAGCCGCCGCCGCCAGCCCCACCCCGCTGCCGCACTCCCCCGCCAGGTCCATGCCGCGAGGTACGTGGAACGTAACCCGAGGTGGTGGTGGAGGTGGCGGTGGTGGTGGGGGGGGGCCTTGGTGGAGGGGGTGAGATAACTGGTGGTGCTGCAGCTGCTGGTTGTAGTGGAGATGATGATGGTGGTGCTGGTGCTGGTGCTGGAGGTTCGCGGGATGATGTGTGGCATGTTGTTGGTTTGCGCAGCTGTCCTGGTTCGGCTGTGGGTGCTGAGGTGGCTGCCGCTTGCTGCGCGCGTTCTTGTCCTGAGGGGTAGGGGTGAGGTGAGAAGGGTGAGGGTGAAAAGGGGTTGGAGAGTTAAGGGATTGCGGCGTCAGCGGGTGTTGGTGGTCGCGGTGGAGCGGCACCAAGACAAGCGGAGGGGTAGAGACAGGCACAGAGTTGTAGCAGAGACAGGTACACATACACGCTGATGCAATGTCGCCTCCTGTCAATCTGCCCGCCGCGGATGGGGCGGCATCCCCCCACTTCACCGAACACACATACACCTCCCCTCCCCTATCCCCCGGAAATAATAAAGACCTAAAACCTCAATAAGAAACACTACAAAACCCTACCTCTTCGCCTCTTACATCCCAAACCCGCCCTACTTACCCTTGCTACATAAATACACTTTTACCCCATCCCCCCATCCGCCAACATTACGGAAATCCCATTTGCGCCCTTTCCCCTCCAATACACATACATACAGATAGACACCTCCAAAACCTTACCCCTCCCTTACCTGCATTCCAGCCACAATGAGCTGCAAGCTCTTTATCTGGTACCCCATAAGGCCCCCTACGCTGTCGTAGAACTGATCCACTCGGGCCAGGCGGGTGGCCAGGGCGGTGAGGTGGGGGAGGAGGGACTCGGGAGTGCTGGGGGGGGCTGCGGGGTGTGGGGTGGGGTGGGGGTGTGTGGTTGGAGAGTTGTAGAGGGCACGGGAAGGCAGGAGAGGGAATCATATGCAAGAAAGAAACCCAGAAAAATGAACTGCTGCCTGCCGGAACGCGTCCAAAGTCCGAAACTGCCCCTAGTGAGTCCGAAGCGGCGAAGTTACGACGGCAGGGGAAGGAGGGGAAGACGAACCACGAGCGAGTGAAGCTGATGCCAAAGAAAGGCTGCTGCGCAGAACTAAAAAGAGAAGGCAGAACTAACCAGTCGGCGGGAAGGAGGGGAGGCAATCTTGTGAGAAAGGGAAGCAAGAGGAGGGGAGCTCTGCCTAGGCAGATAGCACTGCTATCAAGAAGGGAAAACAACTGCCAACGGACGTCCAAAGTCGCGTGGGAGGGACTGCTGAATGAGTCCACAGCCAAATGATGCAACTGCTCTTCCATGAACTTTATTCACTACCAACACTTTTGGCCGGCCGTGCCGTGCCGAGTAATCGCCCGCAGCGCGTTGATGCCCAGCGTTGTTTCGAAGTGAATGGAATGGGATGTTGCGGGCTATCCCTTCCGCTCGCACCTTCGCTCAAAGACGTAACCCCCCCCCCCCCCCCCCCCCACCACCACCACGGCGCTCATTTAACCCCCATTACCATCATAATCCTCAACCAGCCAGCTCAAACTAACCAACCAATCGCAACCAAACCACAAACTAGCTCCCACGTGTCTCAATACTCCTCCTCACTTCTTCCCCTTCGTAATAGCTGCGATGGAGGCAGACAGGTGATGCGTTGCGCAAATCAACAAGTGCCACGTCGCAATCTTCCCTCCATGTACTCCCTCCCCCTGCCCTGCTCCCAATCCCGTTCCTGCTCACCTCCGGGCGGCTCCTTCAGCACGTGGTCCTGCATCATGGCTGGCAGACACAGCAGCAGCAGCTGCTGGGGGGCAGGTAGCAGAGACAGCGCGGAGCACACAGCCGCATTCCTGGGAAGGGGAGGAGGGCAGGAGGCCCCGACCAGAAAGGAAGGCAGGAATTTGAAGGGGACTGTACTTCGAGAAATTCCGCTCGAGTGCGAAATAGACCAGCAAAGGCGCCAAGATTTGCGAATCCAACTCTTCGTGCGGATTCAGGATCCGAGGGCCAAAATCCAATATTCTAGGAGCCAGGCTGACGTATCCAGATGCTGCCGCACAGCCGGGTTTCACAGCTCTCCTTTCAGACGGGTTTTGGGTGAGTGTTCGTTTCCATAAGTGCTAAGACACACACTTTCCTTCCTTCCCCGGCCTGCCGAGAACCTTCCTCCATACTCGCCTAACGACGGCCCTTCCCCCTTATACCCGTACATGCCCTCTTTCCCGTCCGCTCCGAAAGCTTCAAAATCTGAAACACTGATCTGCATCAGCACCCGTAACCGCACCCGCAGCGACTCACCTGGGGTCGCACATGAATGCGGCTACACTGTCCACCTGCAGCAGCTGGCGGACCTGCGAACACGTAGAACCATCCAATATTACATACATACATACATACACACATACATACACACATACATACACACATACATACACACATACATACACACATACATACACACATACATACACATACACACGTAATAACACCACACACGTCTACTAGCAATACCAACTGCAAGCAGCCAGGGGGGAGGCGGGGGAAGCGGGGGCGGCTTTTGGATTTGGAAGCTCTCCGCGGAGCTCCATCCTTCCCTTCCCCCAGGTTCACTCGACTCCTCCCACCCGTTAAGTCACTCAACCTGTCTGTGTATGTGCCACACGCGGATTTACCTAAAGGCTGATTGCGGAATCCCGACGTCCAACCCCGACCCCAACCAGCTCCATCGTACTCTCTAACAAAACATACACAGCCGAAAAAACATGTGCGGCACTAACACGCGCTTCCCCCGCTTTTCTCAAACCTCCGAAAGATGTCACCTACCTTGTCCTCCACGGTTTCCGCCGTACACAGGCGCTCCAGGAGGGTCTGCAGCCGTGCAATCTGCTCCTCTAGCGGCAGCTCTGAGCCGGACCGCAGATTGTATTCCTCCTCGTACGATGCGACGGTACCGCTGACGGCTGGGGCAGCAGACGGAAGCTGCTCGTGCTGTTGCTGCGATGGCTGTTGCTGCAGCTGCAGTGGCTCAGTATGAGCCGCGGGGGCTGGTGGCGCCGCAGGTGCGGTTCTCGCTGCCGCCGCGGGTGCCTTGGGACCAGCAGGCGATGGCAGCTTACGGGGCTGGCCCGGTAGGGGTAGGGGGCCTTGGCCAGATACGGCGGACCGGACGACAAGGGCGGTTAGACGGCGCGTTGTGGAAGTCGGAGGCAGGTGGAAAGCTCGTGGCGGGGCGTGGGGGGTCGTCCACATGGTAGGCAGCGAGGGCTGCAGCAGCGGTGTGGCCGCAGCCATGGTTGGGCGCTGGGAAGACGTCGGGACCGGCAGGGTTCCACGCGAGCCCCAAGACACCAATGCCGGCTCCGGACCGCGAGGGAAAAATTAGTGCTAGATAAATTAGCACACTGCGGGGTCTCGCAGGCGGGCAGGCGGAGGGCCTGCCTAGGGCTTGCTGTATCGATGCCGTAACGGGCTGCCCCGGCACGATGTCGCCAGAAGGTGCGGACAGCTCCTGGATCCGAGGAGCTCTTGGAAGGTGTGTCGGCAGGCCGTCACGCCACAGCGACCGGGCTAGGCGCGGAGCAACACAGCGAAAGTGTGACGGGACGAGAGCATTCGCGGATGGCCTGACGGCCTGGGGGCTAACTAACGGGTAAGTGGGCCCCCGGAAAGGCGTGTGACGGTCTAACAAATGAAGAAGGCGTTGCAACACAGCTTGTGCGCAGTCGAACGGAAAGACGGCAGCATGACCAATCCGACACAGGCGCTGGCTCCAAGGGATGGCATAGAGGCCCAAGACATAAGATTTAAGCTAATTCCTTATCAATTGTCCGCGGCCCAGATGCAAAGATGGAGATAGCGTCGTCGTCCGATGTGCGAGTGTTGATGTGACGACAGCAGCCTAGTTCCTGTGCCGTAAAATCATCCAAGTGGTAAAGATTACTTGTGCGTCATGGGTTTGATGCGGGCTTTATCAATCGGTTAGAGCATCGCTCACGCCAAGATGCGCATGATGCCGCACAAAGCGCGGGGGATCGGTTGCCGTGGAATCGGTAACTTGCACAATGATTCCTTCGCGCAACTTCTTGCTAAATTATGTAATAACCATGTTAATACATTCGTCTTGAGATTACTGACTTCAATCTTACTTTTGCAGCTGTGATGGACATTGCGTAAAGCTCCAAAGGACTCCAATGCCTGAAGCAGGCATTTCAACCGGATGATCGCATTAGTTATCATAAGGATTTCACTAGGATACTGTATAGCTTGTTAAGCTGTATGGTTGGTTCGGTTGCCGATCAAGGGGCTAAATCAAAATCATAGATGTCTGACCTAACATCATTGCACAGCCAGGCAAAACGCCTAATCCTTTTGCTGCGTGAGGGTCTTGAACGCCTGGAGGCATTGGAGGTGCGCTCTCGTCTTGTTTCTTGGAAGTGTAAACTTGCATTTGGGTTGGTGATCCAGGTGGTTCATGCAATGATTATCTAGTAGTGCTCGCGGCTTGGATGGATGCTATGGATGCTCGTCTTGGTATCTTGCAGGGAGCAACCGCTCGACAACAAGGCAGCGCAGATGCGACGCCAGTCCTTGCGCGTGACTTAAAAGCAAAGCTTAGCGACCTTGCGGTAGGTTATTTGCGGGTACCGTAGGTATGACGTGTCCCGGCCCCCTGGGTCAAAGTGTCTTCCGGACTGCAGGAAGAAGGGGTGAAGCCCGTGGTCCGTATCGCTGCGTGCTTTTATCATAATATCTTGGACGTGAACTTATAGCAATTTACAATGCCCTTGCTCTGTAGCGCATAAGCAGCGAAATGGACTCGATTTGGAGAATGCAAGTCATCCGGGAAAACTCGAGCAAGCGAGATGTTTGGAAACGGTGGGTTAAGCTGGAAAAGAATTGTGTCAGGGTGATATACCCTCTGCTTCGCACGCGTCTTTCAGTTGGGCAGTATGCTCCCGTCGCACACTCACTGGGTTCAGTTGGGCAGTACGCTACCGTCGCACACTCACTCCAACTGGCGACACCTCCCCCAGCCGTCACGGTTCAATCCTCCGTTCTGTCCCTCTCCTTCAATCGTGCCTCCTGCCTTGATATACATCGACTACCCTTCCGCGTCCTCTTTATGTCCCTATTCCCACCCTCTTGCAACCCCCTTTTGTTGTTCCGCTGTCTCAACTGCTTACCTTTTCCGGCCTCAGAAAGGTGGAGCAAGTGTCCGAGGAGCTGGATAGCATTCGTCAGGCGCTGGATCGCCACACGAGCAGGGAGTCCCGTCGTGCTGCGGAGCAGCGGGAACGCGATGAGCTGCTGGCGCGCGGCGAGGTGGGGCGCAAAATCAAGCAGGTGAGTGGATGGGGGATTTTGTGTTGGGCATGAGGCGGGAACTAGGTGCAGTGGTTATCCTCTGCGTATTAAGCTGTCGTGAATTCGTGTTGCACCTGAAGTGGGTCGGAGCTTACTGATGCGGCGGTTGTGCCGCGCTCTTGTGCGAGGGCGAGCGCGGGTTGTTGGCGGTGCTCCTCGTATAAAGTTCGATCAACCGAGTCTGCAGGCACAGGGCCTCCCTTTCCGAGCCATTCAAGTCCGCAGCCTTCCGGACCACCAAGACTGACGGAAGCCGATGCAATCGCTTCCCCCGCCGCCTATTCTGTTTCCCATTGTATCACCCCGTCAGTGCTTTCTCCGCTTCGCCACCTTAACGAAGTAATTTGCTTTCACTCGGCACCCCAGGAGATGGATGAGGAGGCCCAAATGGCGGGCAGTGTGCAACGATCCAAGAGGTACCTTGAGGAGATGTTTGACGCGGGAACTAACATCCTGGCCAACATGGCTGGCAACAGGGAACGCCTCAAGGTGGGACGAATGCCTATGAGCCTCGACAACCCCCTGCCCCCCTGGCTTCTGCACCGCTCTGATCCACCTGTCCCTGTGCCGTGGCTTGGTTCTTACGGTGTGTACGGTGTGGTGTAGTTGCACATTGGAAAGTTACAAAAGTTGGGTTCATGGTGTTCCTGGGTTCCGCTAGTAGTCCAAAGACCGGCGGAGCTTCATATTCTGCGCTGTAATTGACTTCCATGCCTACTTGTCTGCATGTCTGGCTTCCGGTATGTTTCCATTGCCGTGTTATGCTCGTTCTTGTGTTGCACTAAATATGGCTTTTTTACGCTAGAAACCGAGAAATTCTGGATGCCATGCGTGGCCCTGGTGAGCAATTCCGCAGAGCGCTCAGAAGAAGGCGCTGGATGTGCTGAACTCTGTGGGGCTGGGCGAATCGATGCTGCGCATGATTGAGCGACGGCAACGATTAGACATGTACACAGCTTATGGCGGCATGGTGAGAGTGGGTATAGGTTTGGGACCGAAACACTGGAATTGGTACTGCAGTGGCGGACAACAACACGGTATTGGGGGCTTAAGAGGTGATGTGGCTTGTGTTTGCCCACTGGCTGGCCCATTCCGTGCGGGCGCCTCGGGGTGGCGTTATGGCAGCTGCTGTACGGGTAGAGCTTCAGGGCGTATCGACGATGCCAGGGGCCGGAGATCAGCGGCGGTATACGCTAAGATTTGTGAGTTCTGATGTCACAGAAAGGCTTGGGGCGCTATCGGTGGTCTTGAACACAAAGCTTTGGAGGACGGCACGGAAAGTGGACCAGTGAACGGTTCCACGTGCCCAAACGCGCCGCTTGCGATTTGCTTCTGGATAGCAGAGGACATCGAGCAATGCTATAGTTCTCACACCGCCGCAACCCCTTGGTTCGCAGATCGTGATTCTCATTGTTATCACGTTCTGCGTGTGGATGTTCTGGTTCTAATCTTCCCCGAGTGGGCCCGACGTACGGGCCCGGTCCTGGCCGAAGGCCAGGACCCGACAACGGCACTGCCGCTACAATCTCTGCTCATGGGCACGTGCTGCTGGTTGGGCGACGCTCCTGTTGTCGGCTGGACATCGGTGTTCTGTTCCAGCGTCTTCATTTATTGGACAGAGTGTACTTCCTCACCTGGGGCCTTGTAACCACACGTATTCTTGCTGGTTTCGCCTTGAGCACTAGGAGCAGACAGCGAGCTTATTTCAAGAGGTACGGAGTTTTTCGGGGTGTTTGCTGCTATTGGCTTTGTAGACCGCAACGGTACATGCAGTACTATCGGACTTGGGTTTGGGTGGGAGACGCATCTGATGAAGCGAATCAGGTGCTCGCTTGCTTTTAGGACATGCTGATGGGACTGGGCAGTACACCGTATGCGGGTGGGTAGGGGGGAGGTTTCAGGGGATACTTCTGTGAGGAGAGAGGGGAGGCGCTTGGAAGAGGTAGGAGCCTCTTGGGTGCATGTGGCGTGGTCCTGCTGTGGGACTCCCCTTGTTGGCGTTTATGGTTGGCAAGCGCTTTCCGCTGTCGTGACTTGACGCGGCAACATCTCCTGTCTCGCTGCTGTCTGCCACGCAGGCGAAGGTATTGAAGGGTGTCAAGAGGGAAGGTGCCACTGAACCGCTGAAGCACCTGCTGGGCCCTGCTTGGTTCCCAACTTGGCGTGTTAGAAGTGTGGCAGCCGACTGGGCCGCTTGGTTCCGCCCGTGTAGACGTAGCCCAGCACTGCGCGACCTAGAATATAGCGGTGCTGATAGGGATCTTTGACTGCCGATCCTCGCCACGCTCCCATCACACATGGCCGGTTGGGTGCCGCTGGGGAGCTGGTGTAGTTGTTCACCGGTCCGGTTGTTTTAAATGGATCTCACTGCTTATCCCCTCGGCTTGGAACACTAGAACTGCATGGCAACAGTGTAAACTCGTTGCCAAGGCGTGCCACTGCTTGGATTTCGCTGTGTCGAACAGGGTATGGACAGGGTGCCATGCTGCCAACCTTTTTTCCACCTGTACGCTGTCATGGTGTGTCGTTGTGATCAGTGCGCTGCTGCGTGTTAGCTGTTTGCAAATGCCTTAGCCGCAAAGGAGTCGCGGGTTCCGCGTGCCCGTCGATGTAACGATGTTTTGGTCTGGAACCCTAAGTTCTTGACCACATGGCCGTGATCAAGGACAGCATTGAGAACTGAATTTAAAACTCCTTGGACGCGTCGAAGATCTGACCAGCATCTACAGCACTCGTCGTGTCGTCCCTCGAGCAAAGGGAAACAAACAGTTCAGGCACTACTGGTAACGCACATACCGACGAAGTCGGTCGTTTGCTTGTGCGGCACATGCTTGGCGCGCCACGCACTGGCGGGCTGGGACGGCTGCAGCCAGCGTAGGCGCTTAAGGCTTCACGTTTCCTTGGAACCCATCTCGGTGCGATTCAGGTGGTCCTAGCAGAGTGCCAGTCCTACTGTGTGGCTTAATGACGGGCGAACGGTAAATTTGCATCTGCCTTCCTTTGGCAGGCGGGGCCAAGAGCGCCTGGCGGAGCAGCAGCTGACGGAGTATGCCACCGGTAGTAAACTGGGTGAAATTTGCAAGTATACTTGAAGTAAAGTGTAGCAGATCACGTCCGTTAAACTGTCGAGGTAACTTCACACCTACCTACCATTTCTCCCAGGACCTGGTTCCCTGTAAGTTGCAATCTTCTTGAATGAGGATCAAAGTTGGCAACTTCATGACGAAACAAAAGACGCATGGCGTTTCCTTGGCAGAACGTGAGCTCGTGATATGGCCTCCGACCCCAACGGGCTGACCGCCTGCATCTTTCACCCACAATCGTTCGATAATTTCCGTTTAGAGCGTCCTTCGTTCACAAGGTTAAAGCCTGCAGTGGGTTACCAAATTGTGTTATCGAAAGCCAAAATATCTTAGTCGTACGGACAGCATAGTAACACGCAAGTTACGAAGATGGTGAATAAATATTTTTGCTGAGTGTTCACATTTTATTGTGTTACTTTGTCTTGTCTGTCAAGTGAGCTTGTCATTCTGCATAATTGAAGTAATTCTCGCAAGGCCCCCGAGGTCGTTTCGTTTTTTTCGTCACAAAGCCACAAAGCCGCTCCATCGCCTTCGGATCTATTATAAATGAAGAAGTGTGCGCTTCTAACTGTTAGCGAGCAATAGTCAACTGCAGCTTGCCCACGGTCCTAGCTGTAGCTGCATCGCTTTCTTAGGAATTCCTAGGACACGAGGCCGCGAACGACATCCTGGCCTAAAGCTCTTGTTTCTAACTCATTGCGGAGACGGAAGTCATTTGTTAAACCCTACTGTTGCGCTAGGGCAGGTATGTAAGCATGTATGCGCGGCAGTAAAATCAAGTAAAATGTCAAATTTCGGATGGTAAAGGCATGGCGCCTTGTCTCTTTTCGGGGCCTGCTGGCCTGCTGGCCGCTTGCCCCGGCACTCAAGAGTAGGTCTCTTAATGGCCTGGCTGTCGTCATGTCATGATTCCGTATCCTTTGTTGCTCCCGACTGTATACGTAGGTCTTTCTTGTTTCGGACCGCTGCCATGGCGCTCTTTTCGCATTTGTAGCTTAGATGCGGCAGGAGCAAAGCGAGTATAGCCTCTAAGCTAGGTTATGTACGGCAGCCGTATGGCTTGCTGAGAATTCGAATTTACTATTTCAGCTGACAGCTCCATAGTTCCGGCATTCTGCCTACACTATTGGAGCTTATTATTATTGTTGCTCTCACTTTTATCCAAGACCTTACCGACTACCCTCAAGCCTCATCGACGCTCTACCACAACGAATCGACATCGCCGCGGACCTGTCACTCTCCGAGGAACAACCAGGAGCTCCGTCACAAAAATCAAAAAATGACGGGTAAGAGGACAAAGGCAACGGGAGATAACCTGGTCAACGCAGGAGCGGCCGAAGCAGCCGGCGAAGGGGGATCGGGCCAGATGCTGCCAGCCAACCAAAACGACATAGAAGCCGCCAGGGATACTTTGAGCGGGAACATAGACCAGCCGACTCTTCACCAGCTGCTGCTGGGCGTCCTGTCAGCAGCGCAGGCCAACGCGCCAAAAGCGCCAGCCAGGGATCCCCGGACAGCACCGCCTCGGGATCGCTCTCCTGACGTTGTCATCACAAAAGACGTGACCATCATGCCATCCGCAAGAGAACAGCTAGCAGCAATAAGGACGGAAGTTCAAGCAAATGACGCACCGAAGCTGACAGCACCACACGAGCAGCGGGAGCAGCTCGACGAA